AAACTAGGGAAAGTAAAATTATTAGACATGTGCATCTTTATAAGTGTACAAAAATATCCTCCAGAAAATTCTATATATTTGAAAACATATATGTAAATATAACATGGACTTTTTAAACCAGTGGGAAGTATATATTTTGCAACTTGCTTTTTTACATTCAGCAAGATGCTTTATTAGCAATCTAGTTTTTTTTTTTTTTTACAAGCTCTGTTGGATTTCATTACATGCATGTAACATTTCTGAAGCCAACAATACAGGTCAGTCTCAGAATGGTGTCTAAGCCAATGAAATATATTCACCAACCAACACATATTTCAAAATAATTGTCTCAAGTTACATTTCTGGTACATGGAAGAGTTTATGTTTCCAATAATACTGCATAATTTACCTTTCTTTTCCCCTATGCTTCTTCATAGTCCTGAGCTTGTCTGGATTCCACAAAGCTTTGCATCTTTCCGTGTCCCTGCATTCCTCTCGATACTGCACCGCAGGAGTCTCAAAGCTGTTAAACATTCCTTTTAGACAGAGATGAGAACGTTGACCCAAGACAAAATTCTTTTTACTTAGCAGATGGAGGGGAAGGCTAGATGATTCATGTTAACAGTTTTTGATCCATGACATCACTGATTTCATTAATCTCCTGTTGTACATTTAGTTTGTCACTTTTGTTATCGGAAATGATAATGCAATGAACATTTCCGCTGCCATCATCTGGATGTCTGACTGGGGCTGCGGGGTCTGCCTCCATGGTGTTGCTGGCAGGAGGTCTCCATGCCTCTTCCCGTGGGCTTCTCCACAGGACTGCTTGGTGCCCTCAAGGTGGCAGTTGGCCTCCTCCAGAGTGAGGTCCAAGAGAGAACAGGCGGTCACAACATCTTTTCTGATCTAGCCTCAAAAGTGAAACACTGTCATTTTTTCCTTATTCTATTGATGACACACCGCCAGGCCTGATACAGTGTAGGAGGGGGGCCACGCAAGGGCAAGAGCACCAGCAGAGGGGAGCACTGGGGGCCTTTTTGGAGGCTGGTCACCATAGATCCATGTGGCCACTACCCGGAGGAAGCACATTCCATTTCGGGCACTCCAGAAGGCTCCCTCATGCTTTTTCCCAATATCACCACTTTCCTCCAACCCGGAGGTAGCCACTGTTCTGACTTCTACCACCATAAATTGATCTTGCTTGGTCTTAACCTTCATGTCAACAGAAGCCTTCTCTTTTGTGTCTGGTTTATTTCACCCAATGTTGTGAGATGTGTGGATGGTGGAGATCCTAAGAAATGAGAATCATTCTCATTACCCACAGTAGTAATTCATCCTTTTTAATTACTGAGTAGTATTCCATGATATAAAACTACGTGGTGGACATTTAGCTTGTTTCCAGTTTTGGCTATTTTGGGGTTATGAACATTCTTGTAGATGTCTTTTGTTTGAAATATGTACTCAATTCTTTTGGGTTCTGTGATAGACTTTCAAAACTCCATACTTAAGTGAGCTCAATTTCACTGATGTCTTCATGGCCAGGGGTTCTGACTGACAGCAACAGGGCAATGTCAGTCACACTTATGGTAAAATGTCCACCCTAGAGAGGGCACTTGATTTGGTCATTGATCCAGTCATGTGCTGTGGTGGAGTTTCCACTCAGATATGATGCTGCTGGCATGGGAATAACTGAAACTCGGCAGCCAGACTTCACAATGCTGTTTCCTTCTTTGGAGAGTGCAGTCTAGACACAGCTGCCTCAGCCTGGGGTGGTCTGGGGTCTAATCTTTCTTAATATAAAGAGTCCAACTCTCGTAAACTGAAGACTGACTTTTAGGGCTATTCTTACATGTCCAACTGCAGGAAGGGGTTAGAATAACAGCATTTCTCATTAAAATTAGAGGGTTCCATCCAAGTGAGGGAGGGAAGACACCAAAGGTGGGAGAAGTAATCCTTTCCGATAAAGCTGATAAGGCATCTGAGAACTGAAGGTCTTTAATAACTTCCAATTGTTAAAACATGACTTCGCTCATAGTTTAAAATTATCTTAAAGTATTGCTAAAAAGGGTAAGAGCACCAGGAAAAGATTCTGAGACTTCCCAGCCCCACTAATGTATAAATTATTTAACTAAGGGCTAAGTATAGTAGTCAGAGAGCCCGGAGAAAATGCCTGTTCGTCTTACCGGTATATCTCATTGTGTTTGGTAGGTTAGATAAAGAGACTCCCTCTGTCAGCTAGAGGAGTGTGAAATAAATCATTCTAATTTTGCTAAAAGAGCGTATAACTTGTTTGTTTATTGTTTTCCTCCTTGTTTTGAAGCACAGGCAAGTGCAAGGGCATGAAGTGATGGGGACAATGGCATGAAAACCCCGACCATGGTGTGGCTCTGTCCTGCTTCCACGCACTGAACCCCCTAATTAAAACCAATCACCCAATATAATAAACGTACTCTCTCTCATTTTACCAGTAAGGTAGTGCGACATTAACTCACAGGCCCACCGGCATTGCACCATACGGATCTTGCATCTTTCTACTGGGGCACAAAGCACTTTCTTTACTGGTGACAAAGCAGCGGCGATGCATTCTGAGAGTTGCTAGCAATTCCTAGAAAGTGTTAGCAGTGGCTGCATGAATACAATTCCAGCAATCACAACTAGAATTATTTTGAGACAACTATTTACTTTAACTTTAGCTTTAGGTCCTGACCAGTTGCTAGGACCTGTCACCCTTAGCCTGTGCTAGAGTTCTGCGCGGACTGACCAAGCTCACCAGGGCCGAAGTCACGGGGCAGACGTCAGTCCCGAGTTTGTGCTGTACAGCCAGCCCTCGTGTTCTATGGCCACACTTCGTCAAGGGGCTTGTTGCCCACTCTCTCTCCTCAGGATTTTCTCCTCCCTTGATGATGTATGTTTCACTTTCCACTCCTGTCCATTTCATTTTTGCTAACTTCCCTTTTTGCTTGAAAGTTCTTCCCAGTTCTCTTCTCTCACCAGTCTCCCTCTTTCACCCCATGACTTCGACCATCACTTCTACACAGATGATGCTCAAAATCAGCTAATAAGCTTGTCCAACACATTAGCTGCTCTTTACACTTGCCTTCTGGAATCTATTTCACACATTCTTCAAACTAAACATGTCCAAAACTCTCTCTTTCTCTCCTGCCCCCAAATTCCTCTGTTCTTCCCTATTACCTAACACAGTTATTGGCACTGTCCACATGAAAATCTTGTGTGGAAAAAAAGTTGACATAGCAGACCTGACACTGTTATCCTTAGAAGTTCTTGCTTACAAGGCTGGCTGGTGCCTGGGGACTTGGCCATCAAACAGTTCCCTATGCTGATATAAGACTTTCCCTAAATGATACTGGCTCAGTGTGCCTGCACTGTTTACATGGTGTGGTTTATGCTGAATGCCTGTTTTCGTCTGGAAGTCTGGAGTTTTGGTGAATGCTAGATGGAGGGTGCCTATGTGACCAGATCTCAGTTAAAAGCCTGAGCAAGTCTCTGATGAGCATCCCCAGGAGATAAGACTTCACAATGTTGTCACACCTTGTTGCTAGAGGAATTAAGCTCGTCCTGTGACCCCACTGGTAGGACTCTTGAAAGCTCACACCCGATCTCCTCTATCTTCATTTCCCTTTCCCTTCACTGATTTCACTATATATCCTCTTGCTGCAAATCACTGAACCTGGGGGTGGTCTTACAGTCCCCTGACATACCTTAGTATGATTCCTAACTCTCTTTTCCTTACTGTGTTGAATTAATCACCAAAGCTATCGTTAGATCTATCTCTGTTTTGAAGAATTTGCTCAGTATTCTCCACTGTTGCCTCCTTCATGCTGCAACTGTGACTCCATCTGGACAAAACTGTCCGCCGCTCTGCCACTAACAACAGCAAAACCCGAGGGCTGCAGGACAGCACCAAGCCAGCACTCGGGGGGCAGTGATCTCTCAAACCCAGCTTCCTCAGCTGCAAGACCTGCCTATTTCAGAGGGTTGTTGGCTGGGCTAAGTAAGAAAATGCTTATTAACTTTGTAAGATTATCTATGTAAAATGCTTAGCATGAAACAATACTTCAGCAAATGTTATCGGCTGTTTCTATTGTTATTACTAATAATCTGCACACTCTACGTGTGAGGCTCAGCCTGTTCTGGCACCAAAGCCATTCTGATACGAGATTAGGGCCTCAGCTTCTCACTTCTGTAATCTGCAGGGCGGGCCCACCTGGAAACACAGGCATCTCCGTCGGATTTCGAGTAGCCTGGCATTTGGGGTGCTGTTGTTCCCCAACTAGGTGTGCCAGGGTGCGGCAATGATGAGACAGAGCTGCCTTGTGTTTGCAGAGGATGAGATGGAGAGGGGAGGCTGCGATGGCCGTGGAGGTCTCCAGATTCCTGATGTTACCACTACAAATATTTGTTTCCTAAACAAGAAGCGGTGCAAAACCACCAGCTATTTCAGAAGGAAAAGCCACCGTGAAGGACTGGAGAGCCAGGAGCATCACAGACAGTGAAAACAGAAATCAAGGCACTCTCTCTGCCACACTCGAAATCAGTATGTGAGGTGATGAATGTGTCAGTTAATTAGACGGGGGACCCTTTCACAAGCTACACAGGAGACCTTGGAATCACTGCACACCTTTCTGTTCAGACCACTGCCAGACAGCAAGCCATAATCTTTTTGCCAATGAAGGGTCTTGCCTTCCCTTTGTAAGAGACGCAGCCTCTGTGAAGTGCCACATAATGAGGTATGCCTGCATCAAATCATCCTGATGTACAAGTAAGAGTTTCTATGTTTAGTATATTCTGGGAGTTCCAGGGATTTTTTGTCTGAATAAAAAACCTTTTGGGATCATTACAAAAGTCACCCACAATAGAAATAATGAAATCATAGGTTCCTGAGTAACACAAAGCTTACAGAGCTGAATCATTAACTCTAAAATTCCATTTTATTAAAAACCACAGAAATGACTTCTGATGAAAAACAAACAGGAAAAAGCAGCAAAGGCAAATTGGGAGTATATTAACTTTATTTTGAATTATAACAACCTGGAATATTTCATCAAACAAATAGACATAATGAAAAACTTTAGTGGTTCAATTAAGCAAATAATTTGCATAAGAATTGCCAGTTCTAAGCCTTAGAATGCAGAGCTCATTGAACTGTGAATTAGATGAACATAAAGTAAAAATTTACTTGTGTGCAAAATGAACGCCATTTAACGTTGAATAACAGACCTTTTTTTCAGTCTTTGGTGATTGACTTACACAATCTACTACCTTCTGTGCAGGAGATTACAGCCTTCCACCCTAGAGACCTCTCATTGAGAAGAGGCCTCCATGTTGTTAAAGCTACCAGATTAATTTTTAATGCCCTAATGTTGAACATTACCCACATAAAATGATCTAATGAATGGGCCAAGGAAAATATATTTTATTGAAAACAATATTACGTGTGTGATTTCATCCCATTTTGGACTTTTGGAACTTTGCTAGTAGTACCTATAAAACTGTTGTGATTTTGATCAGTGGGGGGCAGCCATTTTTGGCCTAAGCACTCTAACTAATGGAAAAACATGTAAAAATTTAAGGCCATATTATTTTCCTCTTCAAAATAAATATAACTTTATGAAATTCCCACAGTGGGGGAGAATGTATAACTACAATTTTGCTGAATAAAAGAAAGTCAAAGAGGAAACTGGCACTGCCTTTCAGCGACTAAAATCTTTGTGGACGGGCCTTCTAGCAATATAGACTGCCGTCTAATCTTTCGTTCTGAAATGGGACTGCAGGCGTGCTGCCTTGTGAGTCAGGCTGCAGGTGTGTCTGGGGACTGTGGGTTGTCACTACTGGCTTTGCTTGTGACACTGACTGAAATAAGCTGATTTTGGTTGACTGATTATTTTACTGATCATAACAAACTTTAAGAGAATGTCCTCTAATTTCAAAATTATACTCTATTATTTGCCGGCTTAAAGAAACTGCTTTTAGTGACAGTGCAAGATGGTTAAAAAAATCTCTTGGGATTACATCTCCCTCCATTTTAACATGTAGTTACATGGAGCACTGGCTGCAAACCAGAGCAGAACATGAACAAGAAAACAAAAGATGCGTTTTTCAGTAACAGAAACGCCATCAGCGTCTAACACGGCAGGTTGCAGACAGAAGGGTCGGTCTATGTGTGTGCAGTTAGTAGGCACCGAATGAGGCAGGTAGACACCACTGGCTGTAAAGTGCATCAATTACAAATTTGACACCTGTTCTCAAGGGAGCATTTCAATAAAACACGGGTTTCTTTCTTGGAATCATTCAACGCATGCACAGATGAACACTTACTAAATACTAATAACAGTCTTTTATTACTTATACCCTTCAATAGTGATAGCGACATATTGTACTTGCACACATCATGTTTTATCTAAGGGCTGAGAAGTCACTGTATCAAGCAATGTGACTCGGAAGCTCGAGATTCTGCAGCATGTTAAACCTCCTTAGTTACGGCACAGGAAGTAGATTCCCAATAACAGAACCAGAGTAAAAGCTCAAAGGAACAAGCCTACATTTCGTGTCATTTGTAATTTTCTGAATTTCCAAATTTGCCACTTGTGTACTACCATACTGACACTATGGACAACAGGTAGAAAGGATTTTTACACATTAGGAAGAACATGAGGATCCATTCACAAATGAGCATTTTTGTCTTTTGTATAGTGCAATAGCCCATCTTTGAAAAGCACATGGAGGAATGTCAGAAATGGCTTTTTAATAACACAACTTTACACTTCATTAAGTCTTAGTAACCATGGCTATACTCCTTGGGTAGAAGAAAACATTTTACACTGGAATGACATACATGTTTATGTGTAAAACAGAATGGAGGTATATATTTTAGCGCATTTACATTTAACACAAAAGCAAAAGTGCATTGATACACTGAAGGTTGGACTTTCAGTCTTTTAAAGGCTTACGATATTTCTGTCTTCTTATTTAAAGCGCTTGGAAGGTTTCGCAATGAAAAGTTTAACTACTAACAATTAGAGAAACCCAAGCTAGTACAGTTTAAAATGAGTTTCTGTGGAACCCGAGAAACTGCCAGGCCCCACCGGAGCGGGGTCTTGGGCCAGTGCGAGAAGGAGAAGCCCGTGCAGGTGAGGGAAGGGGTCCCTGAGCTGCTCTGTTCCTGCTTCAGGGCATGAAGCACAGCTCTTCTTGGGCAGGGACCCAGGGCGGGCATTCAGAGCATTTTCTGTCTTAAAAGAATTTCCAACACTATTTGAAAGCAATTTCTAGTTGGACAATGTGGTTAAATTTCTACCTTTTAGTCACATTTACATCTAAGTTAGCTCTTCCTGCGTCCTTCTTTACTTCGGAGGAGGCGTAATATACGCTCGTTTTGGGTTAGTTCTGCAGGAAGTTTATTGGCCTGAAAGGAGATCAGATGGGCATTAGTGAATTCCAGTAGTCGTGTGGTTTCAGGGGCTCCACAGGGGGCGCTGTGACCCAAACTGGCTTCTCCACTGGTGAAAAACCCCACTGGACTCTCCGTTTTGTATCAAGCCATTCAAGGTCTCTTTTAAATGTCAAAATATCACCAGGTATTTTCTTCCCTCACTGTTAAGGTCATTGCTCTATCTAGTCGTACCTCTTACTAGGCTGCAACCTCCTGGATGCCAGGGTCTGTGTCTTATCCATCTGTGTGTCTCATTTCCAGCACCGTGACTGGCATATCTGGCATGTGCTCAATACCGGTAACATTAAATCTGATACCTTATATTTAATTAGTTTGTTATGTGAAGCAGGCTGTGTGATAGGAACTGAGATTCAGGACAGGTATCTTTTCATGAGAAGGCCGAGTCACCTGGTTCTGTGGCCACGACTTCCCCCATTACCCATCTCACCGTATGTCCTTTCTTTTCATAGCGCTGCTGAGACACACTTCCCTGTGCATTTATTTAGTGAGTGCATCCCCACCACATGCAATAAATGTATGGGGTGGTGGTTCTCACACTTTTTAATCTCAGGATCTTTTCACATTCTTAAAAATTATTGAGGACCCCAGTGAGCTTTTGTTGTTAACCTGTTAAGAACAAAAACTGAAAAAAAGTAAAATATATTTGGTAATTTATTAAAATAACCAACCCATTACAGGTTAACATAAATGACATATTTATGAAAAAATAACCAAATTTTCAAAAACACAGTGAGAAGAGTGGCATTGTTAATAGTTTTTCATATTTTTACAATGCTTATTAGAAGACAATTGGATTCTCATATTTGCTTCTGTATCCAATCTACTGTGATATGTTGCTTTGCCTTGGTTTGAAGCACAGGAAGAAAACTCAGCTTCATATGGGTAAGTCAGAAAAGACAGGAGCCCTTGAAACCCCTTTCAGATCACTGTAGATATTCTTGTTTGATGCAACACCAACACAGGACAGGGGTAGTTGCCTAAAGGTAACTGCGATGTGGAATTTGAAACTGTATCAATGAACTTTTCCTATTCTGTTACATTAAAATCCACAGGCCTATCTAGGTACAGGTGAATTTTTTTTTTTTACCCATCCATGATTTATAACATCATACACTGGTCAGTTAGAAAATATTAGTTCACTGGCTTGTGCAGCACTTCCAAATGTTGACACATTTCATTACATAATATCAAAAGGTCACATTAGTCAGTATTACCGCTGATTCAACAACAATAGAAACCAGCCTTTAAGTGTTACGAAGCTGTTAAGCTCATTCTTCCTGTCTCCCGTTGGCCCCCACTGAATTCTCAGGCTGCTGAGGCTGGGAGACTGAGGAGCACCCGGGCTGGCCCCTGATGGCCATCTTATCCATCACAGAGCAGGACCACAGGCCACATTCACCACAGGACAGCAGCAAGCCACTCTATTGCCCACAGCTCCTGGGAGATGTGTTCTGTGTCCTCAGTTGGGGGAATCAGGAACACAGGACCCCTGCGCCCATGGGGACGGCTACAGCGTGGGGGCGGCTATTGGAGCCACTGGTTCCCCTCTCCTCAGACATCTGCCTCAAAGCTATATATTCAAGTGGCTCTAGGGGGGGTCCGAAGCCCAGCACTCTGATCACTGGAAAGTCCCCACAGCCAGCACCACAGAGATCCCAGGAAGCACACAAGGGGTTGCACTGTTCAGTTTCTATATACAGGCACTAATGTTTTCCCCTCGCCTCAATCCAGTGCTGGATGGACCAGCAACCAAGACTACCTCTTTAGGATGTCTGTGTCCAAGGTCTAAAGATAAGACAGCAATTGCATTTCAGCTGCCTTATCACTCAGCCAGGCCCGCTAATGGAAAACAAATCTAAGTAAGCCAGGAAGAGATAAGCAGAAACCTTGTCTTCAAACAGCTCCAAGGTAGGAATGAAGAGATAATAATTCCACATGTTCAGTGGAATGGAAGAGGGCCTTGGCATGTTGTTTAATTGTACTTCTTAATAGCTTCTTTAAAAATGTCATGATGTACTCTATGTTTTTGTTGTTCTTATTAATAAAATCTAACACAGCAACTGATGCTTATAAAAATTCAAATAGTGGATAAATATAAAATAAAAATTGCTTTGCATATGTTGCCCTATTGAAGGCCCCGCCTCACTTCCTCCTTCAATACTTAGTAGCTTGGTGTGTTTTCTCGAGACTCTTGCAGGCTGCAGCCCCCGTGCCCTCCCCAGTCTCTCATTTGACTGCTTCTGCAGATGCTGAAGAAGAGGAAGTACAATGACACTTTTTTTTCCTATGGCTACTGTGCATCTTCCACTCCCAAATTTGGATCAATTGTAAACTAAAGATTTTGAGCTATAAGAAACATGGGCTGGTTTTGTAACAGTGGCAGGAAGCCCTGTTAACAATACAAAAGTAACCCTTTTCCCATGTGGACACCAAATAGAGCACTAGCAATAATTCTCAACACGTGAACATCCGACTCGTGGAGGATGGAGATAAAGCACACAGCGCTGACATTGTTAGGACACTTCTTTGATGATAGAACACTCATGACCCTACTCCCCACACTACTGCCTCTCTGTACCCCTGTCAGCTGAAAATCCATGGATGATACAGGATTTCAGTGTCATTCTCTGGGTCTACACGTACTGCTCACTCGCAACCCAATGACAACCTTGCATGCTGTTACTATGCTGAAGTCAGAGGATAGTGATGGGAGCCAGAGAAATTGCCTTGGTTAAGGTAGACACTGCGTTATCTGCTTACATAGACGCCTAATGAAGTTAAAAGATGTGTAAGGTAAGGCCAGTACCTTGTTTCTCAGGGCAGGGTCTGCCCCTGCTTCCAGGAGCAGCGCGACTGTTTTAATATTCCCGCTGAGCACTGCCGCATGGAGGGCCGACGTCCCATTCTAAAAGAAAATGACAATGTGTGTCAGGAGTGAGCTCTCAGCTTGGCTGTCATCATAAACCAGCCTGAGTGATGAAACTGTAACGTGGGAGCCTTACTCTCCCTTATGTTCGAAGTCAGATCAGTATCTACTACAGCGTCCTCAGGTACACAGTAGCTGCTCAGTGTACATAGCGCCCGTGTTCTTCTGCAGGGGAAATAGGAAATCTGCTCTAGGGTGCGTGTGACCTCACGATCACCACTCAGTTTATAACAGATTAGAACTTGCTGTGGAAAAACCAGCAATGCTCTGTCAAACACATTTTTCCTACATATATAGACTGTGCTTTTTGGTGTGTCATTTGGAGCAAGACTGGAGAAATGGCTGACTAGCCAATGGGCTGACCTGCTGTATGTGCTCTGCTCACCCAGGTAGGCAGGAAAGAAACTGTGGAGTTACAGGACATGAGAGTAAGGGGATGTGGGGTGAAGAATGCCCCTGAGCCCTGAGTTGGAGCATTTCTGAGCATAGAAGGGCCTTGTGGATAAGTAGCTGACATTTCATGAAATTTACTACAAATATTTATTGAAAGAAGGAAGTGGCTACGTGCAACCATGTAGGCAGATTATGGAAGGGGAGAGAAGAGAATACCACAAACCTGATGTACAATGATAATCATATGACATCTGTTACAGAAGATCCATAGATCTTTGTATAGCACCTAAGGCAAGCTTAGTTTCCAAAGTAACTAATTATAATAAAAAAACATTCTTATTTTGTAAAAGAGCAAAATATCATGCCCAGGGAAAAACTGGGAAAACTCCTAGGGAAAACTGCAGCAAAGTAGCATTTTTCCTTGCTCTTATAATATGCAGGGTATTCACTAATCTGGTAACATTTCACTTACATAAACCTTAACCAACCTATCCATTGCCTCTGTGTGCAACATGGCCAAACATCAAAACCAGGCCAAAAAGACCTGTTTGAAATGTGACTGGATATTGCCAAGTCTATTTCTGAAGCTCATTTCTTTTGTTTATAGGAAGTTCACTTGCACAGACTATTCTTACTTTACAAACATTATTAACAAGTGCAGCTTTCTGGCTTCCGAGCTTGTGGAAGATGGGAAGAGGCTCACTGGGACAGAGGACAGGAGGCGGCGCCCTGACAACTGACAGCAGGAATGGAGCCTGGAGATATAAAGATCAGAATCGGAAAGTTCAAAATGCCTCTGGGGCCACTCAAGGGCAAGAAGACTTTACGCACTTCAATAAACCCTGAGGGTGTGGTCCAGAAAGTGCTAAGCCACTGTCCAAGTTCAGGACAGGCTTAGTGTCAAGAAAACAGAATAGTGTCCACCAGGGGTCAGCAAACTACGGTCCGTGGGCCAAATCTAATCTGCTGCCTGCTTTTCTATGTCCTGGCAAGCTAAGAATTTTTTAAAAACCAAATGAAGAAAACTATTTTGTAATGTGTCAATAGTAGATTCTAGAAACACAATGTCCAAAAATAAAGTTTCATTGGAATGCAGCCACGCTGTTTTTTACAGGATATATTTCTGTGCCTGATTTTGCACTACAATGGGTCTATTGAGCAGTCACACTGAAGATTGTGTGGCCTGGGAAGCCTAAAATATTCACTACCTGACCCTTTGTGGAAAAAGATCGCCAACCCTCGTATAGACTATGGTTTAGAAATACTTTAATCCCAGCCGATTAAGACTGAAAAGTTGTGGGGCTCTGCTTTCAGAAAGACCCGGCTCCCCAGAATGACGCATTCTCTGAGGTGTCCAGATGCTGGAGGGTGGTTTCATTTCACCCACGTTAATGGTGTGGTTCTTTGCTCCAGAGAATGAAGACAAGGAACATGAACATGTGTCCCCCGTGTTTTGTGGGGCAAATATCATGTGTTTTAGGACCTGTGGATGCATCAGATCCTAAAGCAAACCCTCCGATGACACGCCCACATGGCTGACTTTTCGACGCAGCAATTTCACTACTGTTGTCTAATGTTTGTTTTTCTGAAGAACTAGGTACTGACATACTCTGGTTTATTCTTTTTACCACCTTCTCATTTTCACCAGTATCCACAAATCTCGAACATTAAGATGTTGTAAGTATGTTCTTTCAAGCATACAAGTAACCATGTGAATTATACCCAGATTCTACCGCGGTCCCAAGTGTAGAACTCTGAATTTCTAATTTCATTTTTTTACAAGATTGGCAAAATTTCACTTTAGAGCTTACCTTCAAAATACCAAGGGTAGGTGAGAATTTCAGCAGCTCCTCTATAACATCATTATACCCTTGGTTGGCTGCTTTCAGTAATGCTGTTGTACCATCCTTGGCAGACAGGAAAACAAAAGTTGCCCATTAACAGTTTGTACGTGTTGGCTGAAAACTGAACTGTGAGTTGAGAACTAGGAATAAGCACAGACTTGCCCTGTCTCTTATTCTAGGAGCATTTTCGAGCATATTAAACAGTTAACTCTGTGTAAAAGAGTACCAGGCACAATAGGTGACTTCCTATATTATCTCAGGACCCTGCCATTTGGGGATCCATACTCTTCCAGTCACTTAGAACACTGGGTAAGGTTGGGGCTGGTGTAGCTCAGTGGATTGAGCATGGGCCTGAGAACCAAAGGATCGCAGTTCGATTTCCAGTCAGGACACATGTCTGGGTTGCAGTCCCATTCCCTGAGGGGGACGCACAAGAGGTAACCAGACATTGATATTTCTCTCCCTCTCTCTCCTTCCCTTCCGCTCTAAAGATAAATGAATAAAATCTTAAGGAAAAAAAAAGAATACTGGATAAGGGACAAGGGTAATTTAAAGAGCGTATTTTGGGGACATAATTGGACTAAAGAGGCATTCTCTGCATCCAAGACTTAGCAGAAGTTAATTGTTGCACTGTTTGCATTGATTTAAAGAATCCTTGAACTGTACTGAGTATTCTAAACTTTTAAGTGTTTTTCATTTTGTTTTCTCTCATAAGTAACCTTGCTCTAATCTACCCTCGGTTATCTATTTGATTGTGGTGGTAGAGGTGGGGGCAGAGGAGGAAGAGGATAAACTGAAATCTCTTAACAAAAAAAAGAATGCAAAAACATGTTCAAACATTAACATTCCACTTCTGTCATCACTTTTTGGTCTCTCTGAGATTTTCCAAATGCTTTTCTCTCCCGCTTTAACACAGCAAGTGCTGTGTTTGGAGGCTGCAGCTCACAGAACCCTCCTGTAGTAAAGGAAAGACCCCTCCCACGCAGCACCAATGGCTCAGCTAGAGGCAGGAAGAAAGAATGGAAAAGAGGATTTTTCTTTCCTGGCTTCAGGGTCTGTGGGAAGAAGGAAGTGGGAGAGGGGAGATGAAGTGGCCGGGAATGTGCCTTCTGACTTCCTCTTCCTGCACTCTGACTTGGAAAGGGAAGGTGGTCACATAGTAGGAGTAACACCAAGGACAAAAGTCCAGACACTGTGGAAGGAAGGAAGGAAGGAAGGAAGGAAGGAAGGAAGGAAGGAAGGAAGGAAGGAAGGAAGGAAGGAAGGAAGGAAGGAAGGAAGGAAGGAAGGAAGGAAGGAAGGAAGGAAGGAAGGAAGGAAGGACAAGTTGCTCTGAATTTCTACGGGGCATGGCCTGCTGTGGGACACACGGAGGCAGTTAGGTGACACTAGCAAAGGTGAGGTGGAGGCCAACGAGGGTTGTGGAGCAGGAGGCTGTAACTGGGGGAACCAGGAGAGGCGGGCGCAGCCTGGAGCACTGCAGGACCCCAAGCCACAGACACCCCACCTCCACACTCGGCCAGCTGCACTGCGGCCCAGTGCCAGCAGGAAGTGCAGTGGCAGCCGTCCATGCAGCCGCCAGGGACATCCCTCAAGGAAAGTCCCAGGCCCAGGCTCTTACATCCTCCATCCTGCAGTTTATCCCCAAGTCTGCTGGGGGGTGGGCTGGGGGACAAGCATGTCCAAGCAATTACACAGCTTTCTCCTTAGAGAGACTGAGCGGCACTTGCTAAGTTTCAATGGATTCATACTTTTCCTTTGTTTTCCCATTAAGCTAAGTTTCAGTGGATTCATACTCTTCCTTTGTTTTCCCACTAAACAGCAGGTGGAGGTTGGGAGGAAACCCAGCTCAGTTACAGACCAAGTGAGTTCAATCTCACAGCTTCAGTGCATGTGTTTTCACCCGAGCCCCTGGGCTGTGCCGTTGTCACTCAAACTCACATTGCGGGCGGCGTCGCGGTCAGCTCCACGCAGCAGCATCACCCTCACCACGTCGCTGTGGCCCATCTGAGACGCGATCCACAGCGGCGCTGTCCCGTCCTGCGGCAAGAGCACACCTGGGACCCCAGCAGGCCACAAAGCACCCACACAGCAGCAAGTTAACACTTGGGAAGAACTCCTCCCCAACAAGTGAAGAGGGTGATTTAAACCCAGTCACGCAGACCGGCAACTGGCAGTACCTGGACTGCTTGGGTAATCGCCAAGGCTTGATTTTGGCTGATAAAACAGCCATGTTATGGAAGGATCTGTCACCACGGAGAGTGGCAGAACTAAGTTTGAGGAACCTGGGTAGGAGAAGCCAGCCTGTCTTAATTTCCCCTGAGACTGGCGCCCCTTGTGCTCAGTGGGGGCCCTTCAGTCCCACAGAAGACCAAGGTGGGCTCTAAGGGTTGGACAAGAACACTTCTCCCAGTCTTCTATTCTCGTGTCCCGAATTCGCCAGGCCACGTAATTTTTAGGAATATTGTCTCTTCTGTGAGGTGCTTTGCAGTAGCTAGTTATAGCGGGACGACGTACGGGGTGATACTTCCTGTGTGTCATTCCCCCAACGGCCCTTTTCCTGCCAACACCAGGCCAGGAGGCTGGGCTACACTGCTCCGAGGAGAAAAGGCAAAACAGCCTCGGGACAGAGAAATCCTTGACAGCAGGGTGGTTCCTGCCCGACAGAAAGGAAAACAGGAAGCCCTTCTCTGCTGGCCAGATGTGCTAGAGAGGGAGGGTGGAGGGGCTCAGGTCGGGGAGGGTCCATGTGTCCCCTCTCCCACAGCCCAGGGGGTGAATCTGGGTTGGGTAAGCTAGGGGTGGTAGAAACACCCAGATAGATTGTGGTGAATTGCAATTAGGGAAGGATTTTTCTCCAGTTCTTGGGATAGAACCCAGAAAGCTACAAGTCCCTTACAGAAGTTCTGCATTGTGGCTGGTGCTCGAGCCTCCCAATGACTGTGGGAGTTGTCTGCACCCCAGTGCTCCTGGTCCACATTGGCTGGGAAGCTGGGCGCCCAGGGATCCCTGCCTGCCTGTGGGAAATTGGAAGGGCGAGGTAAACAGTGGCCTGGAGTACACCTGGAGCTTGGAAGATAAGACCACCGAATGTCTTGGTCTCACCAACAGAGATGACAGCAGGGCCAGTATGTGTTGGGACCTGCACAGGACGCTCAGGGACCGGAGGCTGGACAAGCCAGCACAAGACCCGAGCATCCCCACCCCTACCCCAATGCCAGATGACAGTCTGACCTCTGAGTAGGGCAAGGAGGAGGAGGAGGATCCAGAACTGACTAAACTTAACCTCCGGGGTAATTAAGATAATATGGCCCAAAGAGGCTGTTTTGGTCAGATAAGACTGACTCACTCATCAGTGAGAATAGGGGCTGAAAAACAAGATGATTCAGTTACAGGATACAGGGTTTCAGTTTTTCTGCTGGACTGTGCAGTTTCAACCCCAATGTCCCAGTCACAGCAAGCACAGGATCACTGCCTAGTGCTGTCCTGGCAGAAGGGCAGAGGACAAGGGGGTTTGAGCAGGGCGGTGGGTGACGGCAAACCAGGAGCCTAGAAGGATCTGTGGGCACTGGGGACACAGCAGGAGGACAGTGGCACCTCGATGTCTTGGGAAAGAGCAGCTGAAACAAGGCGTGGAAGAGATCTGGAGAATCCCTGTCCCTCCTTCGTCCTTGTGCAAGGACCTCTGAGAAACAGGCTTCAGTCTGAGTGTTATTCAATCATTAGCAATGAAGTACATCCCTAATTCATACTTTTAGTTTACACAGCACTTCTCCATTCATTATTTAATTGGATTCTCCCAATTCAGGAGACCCATCTATTCATTCAACGACCCAACAATTATTAATCATCTGCTTAGTCTCTGGCAAAGTACTAAAAATAAGATATGATCCCTGTCATCAAAGGAACTAAGTCTAGTGGAGAAGAGACACGGAATTTCAGTACGATTACAGTGCTACAATCAAATATGGACAAAAATGCCCCAGATGAACCAGGAAAGGGGCCCACTTACTGCATGGGGATTACAGGGTCAGCTTCACAGATGGAGTGCTGGTATCTGAGCTGAGTCCTGAATGAGGACGATTTTGCCAGGGGTTGAGGTGAAAGGGAATTCCATGTAGATACAACATTTACAGCACAGTGGCTTGGACGGGAGTGGCTGGTTCGGCAGGGTGAGAAATCCAGCAGGCATGACCCAAGGGGTGTGGGTGGGGCCCTGGGAGGCAGGAGAGGGAGTCTGGGCTCCACAAAGGGTTTTCCAGGGCTCGGGTGCTGATGCACTTCTCCCTCCTTATCTGCCCTGGGTTCCCTTGTTCTTTGTTGATACCGACACCAGAGGGCAGCCAAGGAAAGGCTGTCAGGGGCCTGTCTGATGCTTTTCTGAAGGCTTGTTTTTAGTAAAATCCTATCAATTGACACTAAAATGTAGAAAAGTGCTGAGAGGTGCTATATTGGGAACAACTATTAATATCATAACAGTAATGCTAACACTCAATTATCACCTTAATTGCAATAGTCCTAATAGGTGGAAAAAGATGTCACCATTTCCTGGCTGACCTTAGGCAAATTACTACTCTGTCTCAGTGTCTGCTTCCACAAAAATATTAGCCTCACAGAGATACTTGTGAATGAGGAAACTTATAGACAGGTGCTGAGCACAAGTACTGGCTAACAGATCCTTAGAAAATGGTAACTGAGCCCTGGCTGGTATAGCTCAGTGGATTCAGTGCAGGCCTGTGAACCAAAGGGTTGCCAGTTCAATTCCCAGTCAGGGCACAAGCCTAAGCTATGGGGCATGTCCCCAGTAGGGGGCACGTGAGAGGCAACCACACACTGATTTTTTTCTCCCTCTTTCTCCTTCTTTTCCCCTCTCTTCAAAAATAAATAAAATCTTTAAAAAAATGGTAACTGAATCTGAATATTATTTATCACGAAAAACAGTAAGCACCTTAATTTGTAATTTGTTTACAAAGCACCTCCATATGCTTTATTGAGTTTGATTCCTCCACTCTCCCCATGAGATAACAGATTAGCAGGCAGGAACAATTGGTATAATGAGATTTGGGGACACCTGTGTATTTCATTATTGGTGATAATTTCTCCCAATTTGGTTTTTGAACACTGGGAGTTCAATATGAGTTACAGCATTATGCCAAATCAAATTATTTATAAGTTGATTATCTAGTTTATGAATAAGAGACGTTTTCCTCTTCTGTATACCTCAAGTTCTGCTTCCTCTTAATTTGTCCTTACAGTGGTAAGAATGTGAAGATGACCTCACAACAAGAATGATGGGAACTAGGTCACTTCAGCTCCTTTTTGTGGAGAGAACGGGAGTAGAAAACCGCATTTAAAATATTTATACAAGTTTTTGAATGCTTCTTGACAAAAATGTATAACTTCAAAGTATATATTCAAAGTAATATATACTTCTGTTTACTTCAAAGTAAACAGAATAAATCACCATGAAGTGGAAGTTATAACCTGTAAGGCACCTTTTTTTTTAACAAAAAGAAAACGGAACGTTTAGCTTGAGGAAGGTAAGATCCATGTGGTTATGACAGAGGTCATTTACTCTTTGTGTACAAACTGAGTGGAAAATGATTAGACTCCCTCTGCACACCAAGGAAGAAGACTGAGGGGTGAGAACTACAGTTGGCTCAATGTAAGGGGGAATGAAAATGAGGGCTGTTAAAGAATAAGGAAATGGCTTTTTAAAAAAAGATTTTATTTATTTATATTTAGAAGGGAAGGGAAAAAGAAAGGGAGAGAAATATCAATGTATGGTTGCCTTTCATGAGCCCCCTTGCTGGGAACTGACCTGCAACCCAAGCATGTGCCCTGACTGGGAATCAAACTGCAATCCCCTGGTTCGCAGGCCCGCTCTCAGTCCACTGAGCTACACCAGGCAGGGCAGGAAATGGCTTTTATATCTGAAATGTAAAGGCCTTGAAGGGTGTTCCTAACATCCTACTTCTGCTTTCTCTAGGAAATGTCTGACTCCACATGCAACTTTGAGGAAAACAACATTGGGTCAAATGCTGAACCTAGACTAACATTGTTTCTCATTGAGAAATATTTCAATAATGTCTTTTCTGTGAAAAATGCTAGTGTTGTAGAGAAAATTACATGTTTCATCCTTTAAAAAGTAGATTTGACTCATATCAACTCTACTTGATGAGGACACATAAAAAGAATAGAAAAATGAGTTTTTAGATTGACTGTGAATTTAAATGATCTCTGTGACTCTTAACCTCTTTATCTAAAAACAGCTCAGCCCTGACCTGCGTGGCTTGGTTGGTTGGGCGTTGCCCAGTAACGTGGTTTCGGTCCAGGGGCAGGGCAGGCATGAGAAGGCAGCTAATCAATGTTTCTCTCCCATATCCCTGTTTCTCCCCATCCCTCCCTCTCTAAAAATTAATAATATCTTTAAAAAAATAAAACAACTTAGAAGAAAATTTTTGTCAAGTTTCAAATCAAGAACTTAGTATTTCCAAAATCTGCTTGTGGCTAGCTTTGTAATCACCATTCCCTCTCACAAAAGTACTAAATAGGTTTTCAGCTAATGTGCCAGTGACAGAGTTACAGGAAAAGCCACTCTACTACTGATCAGATTCCAGCAGCTCAGACCGAGTGTCAGCTGAATAATTTCAAGGCAACTTTGTTAATATCCTGTCACAACGTGCTATAAAATGTCAGAACTCCATAGGATGGCAGTGCAAAAATTGTTCATCAGATTTATCTACAAATATAGAGACTGAACCAGACAAATATCTTTGCCCTTATTTTGTTAGTTCAAAATTTTTCTGACAATGTGTCAGCTGAGATTTCAGAATAAAACATTGGTTTCCAAATGTCCTACCTATATAATATTCTACCATGTGCAGAACATTTTAATTTTTTTAAATTTATTTTTAGAATGAAAGGAAGGGAGGGAAGTGGGGGAAGGAGGGAGAGAGGGAGGGGGAGGAAAGAGAGAGAGAAAGAAACATCAATTTGTTGTTCTACTTATTTACACACTCCCTGGTTGATTCTTATATGTGCTCTGACCGGGGATTGAACTTGCAACCTTGGCGTATAGGGATGACACTCTAACCAACTGAGCTACTTAGCCAGGGTATGCAGGGAATTTTAATGGAAATTTTTAATTACATCTTTTTTTTAAACTTCCTCATAACTTGTGACAAAGTCAGCCAGGACTGATACCACTTTTGCCACATTTATGACACTACCTGTTTTACTGGAATGGAATTAAATATGCAGTTTACTCTCTGAGAGAAGACAGAATTTGGACTAGTCTGACCTAGTTAGAGAACCTTTTATTTATGAGCTCATGGCAAGTAGTAAAAAGATCATGGCTTTTACAGGTAAGTGGTACCTGTGGGGTACAGAGGGTATCGTGGGGTTAGTATATACTCCGTGAAAAGAAAACATTCTGTCACTCCTTCTCCCACCCCCCAAGCAATTTCTATGTTATAAAGCACATTGTTCCTGAACAACAATCTTCTCAGAGCTGGGCTCTCAAAATTCCAAATAGTGGCAATAGACAGTCTTTGGCAGGGCATGTCACTTGCTCCTTGACCTGAGGGCAGAGCCCTCCCACTCCCAGGCCAGGCCACCCACGTTGGCCCCGCTGTCCCCACTTCTGAGGAATGGAAAACACTGTGGGTGCTGTGGCTCCCACTGCGATGTGGGTTCACCTGTAACTTCTGGGTTTCGACATCACCACATGACCCAATTTAGCTTTAAATGTACACAATACAGGCAGCCTTAGAAATATAACCTTACGCCAACATGACTTTTACAAATAGTTCCTTAGGCATATGAATAATACAATGTATTTTACAAATAGATTTGTCAAAACACCAGAAGTTATTTTAGAAGTATGTACAACAGAGACACACATGGAGAGACAGACTGACTTGATAATCTCTCATTTCTAAATTCACGGTGGCATCCTCAATAACGACCTCTAAATCAAACTTACCCAACCTAAATATAACCAATTCTTTTTAATTAGTAAAATGAGGCCTCTGGTTAAGAATAAATCAACAATTTCAAAATAGGAAGGACCAACAAGAAATCTTAAATTCAAATCCCCAAATGTCAGTTCCAGCAGGAACTTTTCAGAAAGTTTCTTTTTCCAGAAATATTCCTGAGGCTATCTAAACTTAAAAATATCTTTAAAATGCTAAAAATATAATCTTACATTCATAGCAGTGTCTGGCACATGTTAAGTTCTCAAGAAATACTGACTGAACATTAAATAAAGCAATCATCGAAAATGGGGGAGCTTGAAGAGATCGCCAGGATCATTCTGTCCAGCTTCCTACATTTCAGATGTCCAGAGAGGCTGATTCATTTGCTTAAAACCACACAGCTAGTTATTGGCAGAGCTGGATCTAGAACTCAGGATTCCTGATCTCAAACCCACTTTGCCCAATGGCTTTCTTTTCATGGGTTCCTCATGCACCTGGACTTTTATAGATTGAAAAAACCCGTGGTCAAGAACTTGTATCAGCCTTAAGGTTCCCATAGCTATTCACTACGTGAGCACACAGGCACTGTCAAAGCAGGTCACAGTACGGTGGGAACCTGCCTGGGGGTCCTTTATAGGCAAGAAATAGGTTTGACTTTTCCCTAGCAAACTACCTTTAAAATAAAGTTCCCTTAACCTGAAATGTTCTGTTAAAAACAAATTAATTAAGGCAGAAATAGTTCCTACGTAAAAGAAGCTATAATGACTTATATTGAGATGGTTTTTCACCATTTCTAACTGAGGCCTATATTACCTTGCATTCTGTTCCTTTAAGTAGCAATTAACTGGTTTACCAGATGTTGGTAATGAAGCCTTAATAGCATTATAATTGTGAGAGATGAAGGTGTGGAACCTACTAAAGACTGCAGGGCCTCCTCTGCCTGGTGGAAGAAGTGGGGGTAGGAGGTAAGGCAGCACATCAGTGGAGGGACTGGGCCGGGCGGGCAAGGCTGCCAACGCTCCTCTGTTCCCCTATGTCCCAGACTGGCCTGCTCTCACTACCTCAGCGCAGCCAAAATTTATTTGAACAGGAGGTGGCAGAGTGTGAACTTGACCTCAAATACCAAACACCCAAGTTTTAAAAATAATAAAAGGTGATGTCACCCTGATTTCAGGAAAGCCCGAAGCAAAGAACAGAAGAAACCCTAATGAAAGATTAACCTGTGTCACAGAAGCAAAGGATTTAAAGACACAGAGCTGCCCGGCTGCCCAGGCGAACGCTGCTGCAGGTGAGCTGCCCTCCCACCCACCGCTCCGTGCACGCGGGCTTTACCTGCCTCGGCTGGTTGACCTTAGCTCCTGAAGACAACAGTAACCGAGTCACATCCAAGTAACCGCCTTGGGCGGCCAGGAAGAGTGCTGTAGCCCCGTCCTGAGAGACAGTGAAGTGAACGTGTTAAAAGAATCATCTTTCACATTTATTTTAAAAGAAATGATCTTTTAAATTACATATATTCAACACAACTATCCATTTCTACCCCCCCTTTTCATATGTGTAGTTAACGTTTTATTTTTTGAAGAATGATTCTAAAAGATCACACAAAGTCAGACTGAAAGGTAAAGTTTAAAATAGACAGCATTTTTAAAAAGTTTATTTATTTATTTTTAGACAGAGGGGAAGGGAAAGGGAAAGACAGGGAGAGAAACATCAATGTGTGGCTGCCTCTTGTGTGACCCTACTGGGGACCTGGCCTGCAACCCAGGCATGTGCCCTGACTTGGAATCCAACTGGCAACCCTTTGGTTCACAGGATTGCCCTCAATCCACTGAGCTACTCCAGCCAGGGCTAAAATAGACAGTTTTATAAGGATAAGTTATGATGCATATAATGACTTCACAAAATCTTGATCCTAGAGCTTATGATATTTTTGGTTGGTGGTAGCATCTAGGTTTTCCAAATATCAAGTCACATTTTTCTCTTGTGTGTATAGACTTCTCATTGGCTGCTTTCTGCTTTTGTTGCACAATCTGAGTCCATCCACGTTTTAATTAGATTTAAAAGTACATTCATTTAACACAATTTTCCATTTCAACCCTTCCGTCAGTTAAAAGCAGAGCCTTAGTTAAAAAACAAACAAAAAGTAGTCTACAACTCCAGTCAACATGGCAGCGCAGGCAGGCATGGTCCCCTCTTCACACTACCACGTCAAAACTACAACCAAAACACAGAAAAACCGTCACTCAGAACCATCAGAAATCGAGTTCGGAATTACAGAAACCACAACCACGCAGACTGGCTGGAGGAGTGCAAACGTGGAATGGGCTGATCACACACCCACTTTTGGATAAAAATTCGGAAGGGATATCACGGGAGTAAGGGCCCCCATCCCAGGGTTTCTGGTGCCAAGAAGATGAGTCCCCGCAACTTCTGGCTGCAAAAACCGGTAGGGATTGAGTTGGTGGAAGAAACTCCTGGAGTCCTGAGCAGTTCCTCTTAAAAAACCCACACACAGACTCACCTACTCAGACTCACCCCCTCTGACCTCCAGCAATAGGTAGCAGCTTTGAAGGCACCAGTGGCACAGAGGGAGACACTGAAGTGTCTGGCATCGAGGAGAACAGAGGCCACAGTCCCTTTGCTAAAGCCTCCCCTCACAGAGCTGGCAAGCTGGTATCATATCTGAGCCTCCATCCACCTAGCTAACACTGTTTGACCCACATTAGAGATCCCCAGAGACTCCACCCCACCCACCTTATGGCCCACCCAAGCCGCTTTTCCATATGAACGCTGGTCTCGGCTCATGCTTCACCACTTCCTAAATCCTCTGTAATAAGCAACAGCTGGACTCACTGAACCTCAGGCACAATGCTGATTCACAGCTTGACTTGCCTAGAAATCTACACGCCCAGTACAAGGAGCAGCCATCTCAGAAGCTTTATAGCTCAGGCAGGGCAGCCCCAGACAAAACACGGGTGGGGCTGACCTTGGCCTGCATCATTCAGGAAACCCCAGATCCAGCACACTCAGTGGACAGCTACAGACCATCTCAGAGAACCACCACCATGTCCCTGCACAGCTGACCCTCCACAGAAGGTGGAGGTTGCTGGTTAATGGTCACAGACAGTCCTTACAGCTGACTGGCCTGGCTCCCATTGATCTGCCATCAGCAACCAAGGCTCAACTACAAGAGGAGGGTGTATTTAGTTCACACAAAGTACCCAGCCTGGATCATAGGGGAGGCTGTGCCACTGGACCCTACGGGACACCTACTACATTAGGCCACACTACCAAGACATGGAGGCAAAGCAGCTCTACCTAATACATAAGTACAAACACAGGAAGGCTGCCACAATGAGGAGGCAAGGAAACATGGCCCAAATGGAAGACAGATCAAAACTCCAGAAAAAGAGCTGAATGGAATGGAGATAAGCAATCCATTAGATGCAGAGTTCAAAACACTGTTTATAAGGATGTCCAAGGAACTTAGTAAGGACATCAGCAGCATAAAAAAGATCTGGTCAAAAACAGAGGCTACATTAATTAAAATAAAGAACCATTTACAGGTTAACAGTAGAGTGGATGAAGCTGAAATTCAAATCAGTGATCTGGAACATAAGGAAGCAAAAAACAACATATCAGAACAAGAAGAAAAGAAGAATCCCAAAAGAGGTGTACAATATAAGCAGCCTCTGGAACAACTTCAAGAGGTCCAACATTCACATCTTAGGGGTGCCAGGAGGAGAAAAGAAAAAGCAAGAAATTGGAACTCTATTTGAAAAATTAAGGAAAGAAAATTTACCTAATTTTTGTGAAGAAAATAGACATGCAGGTCCAAACTAAACAAACAAGAAGGACAGAGACAGACAGAATCATGAATGCAAAGAGTGTTTCGTTGGTTGCCAGATGGGAATGGGGTATGGGAGAGTGGGTGAGAGGTGAGGGCATTAAGAAGTACAAATAGGTAGTTACAGAATAGCCATGGGGGTGTAAAGTACAGTACAGGAAATGGAGTAGCCAAACAACTTCCAGGCATGACCCATGGACATGAACAATGGTGGGGGGACTGCCTGAGGGAGTGGGGGTACTGTGTGGAGGCGGGGCAAAGGGGGAAAAATCAGAACAATTGTAATAGCATAATCAATTAAAATTTTAAACATGAAAGAAGTCTTAATAAAAGCAGAACAAAAAACTGCTTTGTGTGCTTTTATGGTTCAGGAGTACAGAGTGTCCTTTTAACTAGATCTTTCCTACTCCCTTCTCATTCTTGCCCCCTTATCCATGTTGCCCCAATGTGCAGTCTCTCCAAGCTCTGAAGCATAAGACACTCTCAGAATAACTGCTTTAGTAAGAATATGAACTTGCCCCATGCTAGCCCAGCAGACGCCCATAACACCTACGTATGTAACTAAGCAATCTTTCATAAAAGCCCAAAGCAAGTGCTTTCCCCCCAATTTTCTTCAGTTTTCTTTTTAACTGGGTATCTATGTCCTCTGGTCATTTCTTTTTTCTCAAAGGCATGTCACTGGGCAGTCTGGACAACACATGGGTCAGCTGAGGGCATGCACCCTCGGCCGCTGTTCATCTCACACGCACAGGCCATGGTGGGCTTCGTTCCTCTCGGACAGCAGTGGAAAACCCAAGCAACCCCAGCTAATTACTGCCCTCCCATCGGGAACAATTACCACAGGTTTAAAATACAAAGCACCTTTCCCTGCAAGTCCAACCATGTGGAGGGTGCTGGATTTCCAGTGGGAGTCAGCTGAGCTGCCAGACTCCCCTCGAGGCAATCATTAAAAAATTAATTAGCCTGTACAGAGTTTTAAACAGTTGTCTGATAATGGGAATGACATTTTTCAGCTGCTCCTCACTGTGTTGCCACAGGAAGTCTTCCATGAGCTCAGCAGCTCATAACCCATAGGAAGTTTCTAAAACCAGTGTCTGTGCGCTGGGTTTTACTGTGCATTACAAACTTCTGTCTAGTTTTCAGGGGTCAGTGACGGGGATTCCCCATATTTCAACTGTTTTTCATGAAAACATTTACACTGGACTCTTTGGGAAAGTCTTAATAGAAAATGTAAGTTCTGGTGCATGAAATTTCGAGTCACCTTATAATAGAGATAAATTTACAATGAAAATGGGCTCTCCCCAAACTCCACGTTTCTAAGATTTTGTGCCACCCTGATGAAACTTATGGCAGAATATTATCTGACAGGAGCAACTCTATGCTCACCATCAGTTTGGACTGCCGACTGTTGAAGCTATGAAAATCACAACATCACCGCTCATTTTCTTTTCCCAAAGACTTGGGCTCTTCCTAGTCAGCCTACACACACATTTACTGACACACACTCTCAGATACACTGCACCTACATACAGCCAAAGAAACAGCTGTAGACCTGTGTTTCTTAGCCTTGCCCACATGTCAGAACCACCTGTTGCTCAAGCTGTGCCCTTAGAGACTCTGGGCTGGGTGGCAGGTGAGGGGCTGGAAAGTGGTATTTTTTTTAAAGCTTTCTAGGTGATTCCAATGGGCAGCCAGAGATGAAAATGACTCCTTTAGACCATTATCAATTACTTCAGTCATTCAGCAGGGAATGCTGCAGGCCCAGAGTATCACAGAGTTCGAAGTAAGGAAGGTAAGGCTAGTTGCCATGTACTTCAAAGAGGTCTGTGATTTTTTCAGAGTTAACCATGTAAATGCTGGAAAGGATTTTCAAATGAAAAAGTTGACACCTACACGTCTCATTACATGTCTACGAAAGCATACAGTGCCCTGGCACAGGGCTGTCTAGGGGACAGCCTACAGGCAGGACAGCCTAAAATATGGTTCCCAGGTAACCGGAAAAGGGAATTCCTCCACCCCTCACTAGGACACTCAAGTCACTTCATCTCCCCACAATTTATTTTTTCCTCTGAAACTGGAATCACTTGTGCCACGAATCCTGTAGAACTACAATGACAGTCAATTACGAGTGCTTGGGTAATGTGCTAACTGCCGAATGGGAGCACACAGACCCACACTAGCGGTGGATGCCTTTTAAAGGACAATGTGTGCGTGCATCTCACACATCTCCATCCAGCCAACCTCACTCCTCTCCCAAATAACCTGATTTCTCCTTTTGTGTGCTCTTCCTCGCAAATAAACCCACAACAGAATTTGTTTATTTTGATTTTCAGCAAGCCCATACACTGGGCTTGTCATGCTATGAATGAGTATGTATCACATGATTTTTGAAGACCCTAATTGCACAGGTAAATGAAATATTTCACATGTAAGAGATTTAAAAGGGCAAAACAAAGATGGGTAAGTAAGATTATGCAGTTTCTCCACAGAAAAACACTACCTGGTTACCTACATGTATTTTTTTCCTTGATGTCTCAGATTAAAGTCCTATTGCTCATTGAAATATTTTTGAAACTGGCATTTCTGGCATCCAAACTTAGACTGCAAGGGTCTGTGTGAAGAGGGAATGAACAAGGCCCCGTGAAATGCACTCACACAGAGCTGGTCGTGGATGTTGGCTCCATGCTTCAGCAAGGTGTCCACCACCTGCCTGTGTCCATACTGACTGGCAGCCAAGAGGGCAGTGCCCCCGTCCTATGGGCATGCAAAGTATAAACACGTTAGAAACAGCACAGGCACAAATCCTATCAAAGAGATGCTCTTCACACAGTGAGAACTTTGGAAAAGAATTCTCCATAGATAATAACAAACTCACATTTCCTCTTTCATCCCTTTTACGTTTTCTTTATTGTCATGACAGCTCATCTTAAGGACTTCATTTTTTTGTACACTTGGATGACTTGCTTGAGATTTGTTATAGCTGACTAAGTTATTACGGTGAACTTAGAAATGTCCCATGTCTACTAGACTCATCAAAGCGATCACTTTCTAAGTTATGTATGATCACTATGTTATATACATGAAACTAATATACCATTGCATGTTAACTGTAATTGAAAAACAACACAACAAAAAAGAAATTTCCTGTCAAATGCAGACTCTTCTATTTGCTTCTCAATAAAGAAAACCAAGAACAGAAAGTCTGCACCAGCCAGGTCTCTTGGAACTGACAGAATAGCCTCCTTGGCTTCTGGCCAGAGACCCTCCTGACAAACTTCTCCATGGTTCTACCCCGTGGTGGGCCTCTCAGATTAAGGTGCTTTTCTAGAGCAACCCTCAGGGGCCATTGCCTTCATGAAACAAGATCTGCATCCATTAAAAGAGTGGATAATTACAGCATATTCCATGTGCCTCTTAACGATCCTACTTAGTATTTTCCTTTGAACATGTGCCAATCTGCCCAGGTCTCTTTTAAAATGTGGGCCCTGGAACTCAATAGAGCAGTGTAAAGGGGGTGTGGTCTGACGGGGAGTGGGACACTCCTTGGTTCCATCTACTCCACTTTCATTTCTGCAGCCCAAATTTGAGTTAGCTTTCATGTCAACCACATCACACTACTGACTCACTGAGTTTGTGGTCAGCTGAAATCCTTAATGGTTTTTCTCAGGGGATGAAGCTAATGCATTATCTTTTCCCAACTAGAATTGTTTGTTTGGCTCTGTAAATTGGTATGTGGACATCTGAGCTAATTATAAATAATGCGAGAACATGTAAGCTGGTTGTAAAATACAAATTGTAAGTATAAGATTGTGTGGTTTTTCTATATGGGCATGGAGTGTTTACTCAAAATGCCTACCCCTCAGAACCCATCCTCAGATTCAGTGGGTCTGGGGTAAGGCCCAGAAATAGGCCTTCTGACTAGTCACGTCAGGAGACTGTGGTGAGCGGCTGGCAGGCAGGCCTCACTTGAAGACACACCACTCTAAGACTTGCTCCTGCATTCACCGGGGATGTATGTGGTTGAGTGGTGGGGGAGAGCTGGGTTTTGAAGAGTGAAGAATGGAGGAGAGAGACTGAAAGGCTCAGGTGGTGGGGGGCAGGGTGGGAGGGGTGGGTGAACACCACGAACTTATGTAATAGCAGCCATGAGTACCCATGTTTCCAAGTTCTGTTCTGTCAATTTTCTTAGCCCTTTGCCTAAAGAGTTTAGAGAACAGATTAAATGATGACTGTCATAGAAGAGCTGACAGCTGTTACTTTAAAAACACGTATTTGGGGGGATATAAATTTTAAGAACAATGGTAACAATCGTTGACGCAAAGTCAGTTCTGATGACTGGAACACATTAAAACTGAAAGCCTCCCCGACGCCCTCTCCTCCCCTGGGAAGCTCCTGGACCCCTGCAGCTGACCTAATGGAAACACATGAGACGGCTCAGCCGGGCCCCTTGATCCGTGGATTTCTGGGACGACCCAAACTGGCTCACGCACAAAGGCCTTATGCCAGCACTGACCTGCTGACCGAGAAGACTGAAGCAGCCAAATGGCAAGACACCACTGTGTCGATGTAGTTCAAAGAGTTGAGAATTGGGTTTGTAAAACTTTACTTTGCTTTTAGTTGTATCACTTTTACAGATAAAAAATAAGGTGGTAATTAATACCACTTTAAAGTGGTAAAAACATATAATATTTTGTATATTATGTTCAGCACATCTGGAGCATGTACACAGTCCAACAGCAAGTTTCAGAAAAGACAGAAACCTGATATTCAGATCTATGTAATAACTACCATTTTAATAATAAAAAAAAACCCAGTGGAAACTCCCTGGATATTGAAGTATCAAATACAATGAGTTAAGAAAACCTAAAAGTTTCCACTGGGGCAAATATTCAGGAATTTTTTTGTTATGATTAGGCCAGAAATAGTTGACAATCACAAAAAAGTTATGGTAGTTCAAATTTTCCTACTATAAAATACTATCACTTAAAATCATACTGTGAACACAAAGTTGATCTTTCTGCAGTCTCAATTTTCTTATCCACATGCCCAACATGAAGGCTCAGTGACTTCTCTTGCCCAGTTATATAAACGGAAATCATATATCATATATTTCAGTGAGGACATCTCTGAAGGTAAACTCCCAGCCAAAGTACCCTCCTTAGAATCTCTGAGATTCACTAGAATCAGTTTAATATTTCAACATTTCCTATCAGAGCACTGGGATTCATCTTACAGCAAAAAAAAAAAAAAAAAAAAAAAGCACATGAAAAGAGGGAAAATTTAAAGCACCTGCTGCTGTATCATCCTGGTAACAAAATTTAGTGTCCCAGAGAAGAAAGCTACAAGTGCGAACCAGAATCTAAGTAATTCCTCATAAAACTGTCCAGCTGTGTGCCCAGAGTGAAAAATGTCATGTTCCGAACTGAATCTCTAGGAAGACTCCTGAACCTTTACAAGGAACCTCGCAAAACCCACCTTCCTAGGCTTGAACATCTTGTTAAAAAGGGAGCACAAATTTTTATTATAGATGAAGAGACATGAATACTCATGATTGCTAAAATTTTTCAATGGGGTACGAATCAACAGAATGTTCTTACTTTGGTCCTAAACTCAGTGGATGCTCCAAATTCAAAGAGAAATCTCACGACGTCATTATGGCCTTGCTGAGCAGCGAAGAACAGGGCAGTTGTACCTGACTGGGGGAGAGATACGGCTGGTTTCAAAAGACATTTGGTCACGTTATAAAACAACATCCTCGAGTATAAAGCTTCTAGCCTAGGAAAAGGTTATATTGAAACTGATTATTATTCTTTGATCAGAGAAGTGACAAGATGAAAGGAAAAGTTTATTTCTGGTGTAGGGGAATAAATGGTGGACTTCCAAAAGACATGCATTCATTCTAATTCCCAGAACCTGTGAATATTACTTGTATGGGAAAAGATGGGATTAAGGATTTGATAGGAATTATCTGGGTGGGCCCTGAATCCAATGACAAGTGTCTCGATGAGAGAGAGGCAGAGTGTACTTCTTCACAGAGAAGAGGCACAGGCAATGTGATCAGAGGCAAAGATCAGAGTGATGGGGCCACAAGTTGAAGAATGCCAACAGTTGCCAGAAACTGGAAGAGGTAGCCCATGAGCTCTCCTCTGGAGCCTCCAGAGGGAGTGTGACCCCATGAACACCTCGAGTTTTCTGTGTTTCAGAACTGTGAGAGTACAAATTTCTGTTGTTACAGCAGCTGTGGGAAGCTAACATGCTTGGCATAGTAGTTGGGGAACACTGGCATTCATTCACGGTGGAAGAATTCTGGTAGCGGTCTGATTACAAAATTTATCACCCCAGAGTACAAAGCTACCTGTGCAAGAAAGAATCTAAATAATTCTTGCAAAGAGGATCAAAATATTTCCCCAAATAGGACATATTAACAAGAAACAGTCTGATTCTAATTTTAAACATATCACTGATATCCCGAGACACAATTTTTAGCATTCTTTCTTCACAGGCATTTTCATAAACCTACTAAAAAACTGGTACCCAAACCATTGTGTAGTCTGAGCAAAATCACCACCCCACTGATGTGGGCTGTATGCTTTTCATATAAAGATGCGCTTCACTCCTGTGCTCTGAGCATGGGATGAAGCTGAGACCACGCTTTCTCAGATGGAGCAAAGAGAAAACCAACTGGGAGTATCAAGGTGCTAGGTTCTCAACTGGGTGTGAGAAGCCAGGGAGAGCATGTCCTATGGATCACTGATCACTCTGAGTCTTGCTCTTAAGGGTGTGTGCACATGTGCATGTGTGTGTGGGTGACAGGATCAGGGAGCCCACGTCTGTGGCAGGACACATGTGCCTTCCCAGACAACCCTCTATCTCAGGCTGTGCCCCACTAGACTTGGCCCCAGCAAGGCACCGTGCATGACAATTCATAGAACCTTTCTGCCTGTGATGCAGAAGTGATTTTTCTCCTTGGTTCTCAGGGAAACAAGAGGGAAGCATCTGCTCATGGCTTTCTTACAGTGGAGGATGCCGGGGGCCAGAAACCTTGAGATACGACAAGGTATGGATGGAGAAACTTGGCTAGAATAGGAAAACTCTCATCTTTATAAACATTAGTTTTACGACTACCAAAGGTAACTTCTAGGTGTTGTTCCTTCATTAAGAGAGTTTGTTTTTCAATAAGCTTTTTTTTTTTGACAATTACAAAAATCATTTATAGCAGTTTGAGCCAATTTTGGAACATGCATACTACTAATCATTGTGCACGTGAATACAGCAATCTAGACACCAGGAGCTAGAGTTCAGTCTGGAATTTGAATAAAGGTCTTAAATGCATGGGCTTTACTCCTGATACCCAGGGCTCGCCTCGTGACAACCACATGTGTGGCTTCTATGCCTGAGAGTTTCCCTCAGCCAGTACAGCTGGATCCCTAGAGCAACGGTCTTCCAGGACCACAGCTTCTAGTGTGTCTCTCTAGCAAGCCCTGTGTGTCTGGACAGCTTACCTAAGAAAAGAGTGTCAGGTCCTCTTTCAGGAAACAAATATTCGAATATTGCAAAGTTGATTACAGATGAACCAAGGCAGAAGTCTGCTATATGAGTTTCTCAGCACTGCTACGTACTCTTTCAGATTCCAAAGCATGTGAGGTGAGGCTGGGGCCTCTCTTTGGCTTAGCAGACCTGTTTTCCCAGACTTCCATGGCCTCAGGGGACCACCAGGAACCTACACAGATTCATCATTTGAGCCACACAGGTTACCTCCAGATGGGGCACACTTTGGTAAGTCTTCAAGGGCCACTTTGTTCAATGCACAATAGTTCACCTCTTCAAGAACATTAACTGGGCAACTGGAGCCAACCATATATTGACTGGAAATAAACAAACACTTCTCTTCTCCTCCCAGCTTTCTTAGGTGTTGTGAAGATATTTTTGTGCATGTTGAACTCGCCTTTAAGGATAAAGCTTTTGAGTAAGCGGAGCTGGATCACATTGTTTTTATTAAAGAAAAAGCTGTCTCTCCTTTAAAGTTAAAATAAAGATTGTAAAGCAGAGAGGAAAAATAAAAAGATTGGGGTAATTTTAAACTATAATTCTAAATGGGCCCAAACATTTTCTTCCAAGAAGAAAATCAGCTGCTGAAGTGCAAATGACCTAAAACAATGACCCACTGTTATGGAAATTGCTCAGAAAAATCTGCCTGTGAGAAGACTGGCTGGGTTTGCTGTGGTCTCTTTGTACTGCTCCACGCAACAGACCAGGCATGCTGATCCAGGGCAGTGAGAACCAGACTCCAGGCTCTATCCAGTGAGTGTCACTCTCCCATGGGCCACGGCCAAGGCAACACCGAGAGGGGAGATAAAATTTCTAGATGCCCTGTGGAACATCTAGTCCTTACATAGGGTGCATCTTAATTGCTCCCCACAGGGTGGCGGTCCAGCCTGGAAGACACGATGTATTGCTCAATGAAAGTCTGGTTAATGAGTCGTCCTTTCTCTTGGTCAGAGTGGATCAAGGAAAACCAAGAGCTCCAGTCTGGTTCTGAGTCAGTGTGGCCTGTGCACGTGTCTCCATTAAGGTTAGTTTCCCAGGCTCTATATTGTCTTAGAAATAAATGGCCCCTCCTCAGACCTGAATCCCAAAGTATGTTAAAATGTCCCAGCCCCCACTGTTCTTCTACATCGGACCAAGAATGGATCCTGTGACAAGATGAAAGTCTCAAGATTGCCCTTGAATAAAGGGTGGGAGCCAAATCACATTTTAGACCAACGTTCACCACATGGATTTTGGGAGCAGAGCTTATTACACAGCCAGTCAAAGAAGTCCTTTGAAAATATGGTTTGGTGGGATGGTTGAGAGTGTAGCCAGTGAGACTCATTAAGAACAGGTTGGTGATACAATCCTTCTAAAACTATATTGATCTCTATGAAAATCCTATGAATTTTCACCCCAAGGGAAGAAGAAAGAACTGATTTAAGCTAGGGATGAAACGGGGGAGTGTTTAAAGGGTCTGGTTACCTCAGGAGGCAGCACGTGCCTGGGAAGGTGTGTTCAACTGAAGTACAGTCAACCGGCAGTTCCTGGGCCTTATTTTAGGCACAGTAAAGCCTGCAACCTGGGCTTCAGTGTCATGTAGGAAAAGAACAATCACGACTCTTGCCCTTTTTAACAATTCACTATTGTGAAAACTTCAAGCATCTATCACCTGGGTGATTGTTATTCAAGTGCAAAACTTGACCTACCTCTCTCTGGAGATTGATGTCCGCTCCTTGGAGAACGAGTTCCCTCACACAGTCTATGTGACCAGCATAGGAGGCGACCATGAGGAGCGTGGTGCCATACTGGAGGGAGGAGAGACAGATGAGCAGCCAGGCCCCCGTGTGTCAGCGAGGGGTCCAGGAGGAGAGGCTGCAGAGATGCCAGCTCCACCCGGGGCATGTCCAAGCACAAAACTTCCCACAGGGAGAGAAGTGTCTCATGACTAACCTACAATGCAGACTAGACGGGGAAAGAGCAAAGTGACAATTGCCAAAGCTGGAATTTTCAATTTAAAAATTTACTTCTTCCAGTAACCTCAGAAATATAGTCCAAGTTAAAGCACCAATGATGTAATTATCTCATTTTATGATTCATGTTAAATGTTCCTGACCTGAAATACTGTATTAATGCAAAAAATGGGTTAAATAGTACCAGTCAGTTTTCTGAATTTATAAGTCTTTATCTTCAAACTGACTCAGAGATGAAAGGCACTGTGATGAAATAAGAGATGGCAGAAGTAAGAGTCAGGAGCCCTGGGGTCCAAGCTGACCTTTATCATCTATGTCATTAACCAACAGTGCAACGAGGACAGGTTGCTTGTAATTCCTGGGGCTCATTTACCCCATCTTTAAAATGAGGGCTTGGACAGGGTGATCACCAAGGTCTCTGGCAGCTTTCGGACTCAAGGACTTGAGGTGGACCATTTGATATGAACCCCTTTTGTAATTTACAGTTGTTTCCAAGGGTTTGGGACTGTAATCTGAACCACCACACCTGCACGTTCAGCAGCTTGCCTCCCGGGAGTGGATGACAGGAGACAAATCTGCAGTGAGGAAGACTCTCTAGGACAGGGGGAAACGTGACTTGGGAGCAGTGTGCTAGTCACACCTGTGGGATTTTGCGGCGAGGCAGTAGAGCTCAGTAGTCAGCCAGTATGACCCTGGGAGGGTTATCTGACATTTCTAAGGCTCATTCTCTTTGTCTGTAAAATGAGGAATAATTAAAGTGTCTGCCTGACTAAATTAAATGGGAACAAGAGATAATTCAGGCAATGGTCTTAGCATAGCAATGTTAGATATTAATCAGCAAATGTTAGCTATTAAAACAATACAATAATAGTTCAGTAAATGTTATCTGGCTTTTGTTGACTTCTGTGAATGACGATGCTACTTTTGGAAGTCTTGTTTGCTATAAATAAAAAGTATAGGTAGAATCAATAAAAGCTAATGGCTTCCAGTCAGAGAAAGACAAATACCATATGATTTTACTCATATGTGGAATCTAATGAACAAACTGAACGAACAGGCAAAACACAGACTCATAGATGGAGAGCAGATGACAGCTAGTGGGCAGTGGGTTTAGGGGGTGGAGGGATTGAGCAAAAAGGAAATAGGATGCATAGACATGGACAACAGTGTGGTAATAGCTGGGAGGAGTATAAAGGAACTAAATGGTAATGGGGAAAAGAACAATAAAGATAAAATTAAAACATACACACAAAAAGGAATTCAAAGAGTAATTGTAGAAGATTGGATGTCATAAAAAAAGAAAGAAAAGCTAATGGCTTCATAGGAGTGCTCTTTGATAATTTCTCTACCCCATGTGACTGTATTTGGTATTTCAGTGTAAGACCTTGATGTAGGCTATACTACCCATTATTTTTTCAATTGATTTTAAACAGAGAGAGAATGAGAAACATTGATTTGTTGTTCTACTTATTTATGTATTCATTAGTTGATTTTGCATGTGCCCTAACCAGGAATTGAATCTGCAACCGTGGCGCATTGGAACAATACTCTAACCAACTGAGCTACCCAGCCAGGGCGGTACCATTCTTTATTCAGTTGAACTCCCTCCTCCATATTTTCCAAGATTGGAGGGGCAAGCTTAGTGTTACCAACTTGCTCTAGAATGTGAGCAATTTTTATATAAACTGTAGAGACCCAAGAGAGGGGAGGAGTAAGTGGAAGGTACACTAACCTCCTCCCAGGACTAACCTGGAATTACAACAAAATTGTTGAGAAATTATCTTGAGTAACCAACTGAACACTAGCTGAAGAGAAGCCTTATAGCCACAGACAGACAGAAGAAACCACTTCACCACAATGTGACTGGCAGGAAGTGCAGGGGAGGTGCAGGAGGCTGGCTGGGCTCCCATGGGTGGCAGCTGAAGTTCCAGAGGAATACTTCAGTGGCTAGGGAGTTGTGCCTGAGAGGTGTGGGGTCTAAACCCCAAGCTGGTATCCCCAGGCTATAGCACCAGAACTGAAAAAGGAATCCAAATAGCATAAAGCTGTGAAAAGCAGTGAGGTTTCTGTCTGCCAGAGAGACATGGATGGAGACTCAGAGAGGCTCTTAAAAGGCCAAAGCACAAAATTTGATTTGTAGCCACTTACTCTGGGCTCCAGCAGAGGAAGGGCAGAAGGGACTAGAGATGTGTGAGTCTGGGAGGCTGGTGGCTCTAGAGAATTGAAGAAACACTCTCCAGGATCCCTGTGCTGAATCATTCCCCACACTGCAGAGGCCATCCTTCTCAGGCAGAGCACCCTCTCCAAATGGCATCAGCCTGAGGGGAAGCAATAGCCCCGCCTACAGGAACTACTCTGCCCCACCCGGTGGAGCTTAAGGTCATCTGCTGAATATAACTTGAGGCTATATCACTGATTAAATTTAACAACTGAAGTAGATGCCTGGGAGCTCTGAGACTTTAGCTAACCCTCCCCCAGGCCCCAGGCTCATAAAAACTGGCTTAGGTGTGAAGTCTGGTTCTTTCTGCAAACACCAAGGCCCAACCGAGGAAACAACAAGCTGTAGATCTCCAATAGGTCCAAACAGGTTGCCCAGGGCCAGTCAGAGTTTGACTTGGCAGGGTCTGACTTGGGCCTGCACCAGACAGAGTCTTGCAGATCTACCTAATACATAGAAACAAACACAAAGAGGCAGCCAGAAATGGGAACACAAACAAACAGGCCCCAAATGAAAGAACAAGAGACTTCTCCAGAAGAACTAGGTGAAACGGAGGTAAGCAATTTATCAGATACAGTGTTTAGAGTAATGATTATAAGGATACTCAACAGCATGAAAAAAAGGCATAGAAACCACAAAAAGGAATCACTCAGAAATAAAGAATGCAATACCCGGAATAAATAATATACTGGAAGAAATAAACAGGTTAGATGAAGCAGAGGATTGAATCAGTGATTTGGAAGACAAGGTAGAAAAAAAACCATCCAGGTAGAACAGCAAGAAGAAAAAAGAATTAAAAAAAATGAGGAGAGCTTAAGGAAGATTTTAGACAGCATGAAGTGTAACACCATCTGCATGATGGGAATACCAGAAGAGAGTGAGCAAGGGCTAGAGAACCTCCTTGAAGAAATAATGACCAAAAACCTCCCTAATCTGGTGAAGGAAAAAGACATACAAATCCAGGAAGCTCAGAGAGTCCCAAACATGTTGGGCCTAAAGAGGCCTACACCAAGACATCATAATTAAATGGTAAGGCTTAAAAACAAGGAGAGAATCCAAAAAGCCACAAGAGAAAAAAGCTGGTTGACACATACAAAGGAGCACCAATCTGACTGCCATCTGATTTCTCAATGGAAACATTTCAGGCCAGAAAGGAGTGGTGTGAAATGGTCATGGTGTTGAAAAGCAAGGACCTACAACCAAGGCTACTATACCCAGCAAAGCTATCATTTAAAATTGAAGGAGTAATAAGGAGCTTCCCAGACAAGAAAAAGCTAAAGAAGTTTGTTAACACCAACTCAATACCACAATAAAGTGGCACTAAATGTGTATCTATCAATAATCATTTAAAATGTATATGGCTTAAATCCTCCAACCACATGTATAGCTGAATGGACAAGAAAATAAGACCTATATATATGTTGCTTCCAAGGGACCCATCTCAGATTAAAAGATACAGACAAAAAGTAAAGGGATGGAAATAGATATTTCATCCAAATGGAAAGGGAAAAAAAAAGCTGGGGTAGCCATACTTACATCTGACAAAATAGGCTTAAAAAAATGCTACAGTAAAAGACAAAGAAGGACACTACCTACTGATAACGGGAACATTCCAACAAGAGAATATAACCCTAGTAAACATACACACCCAACATAGGAGCACCTATGTAAAGCAAATCTTATGAACATAAAGGGAGAGATCAACAGAAATAGTCATAGTAGCAGATTTTAACACCCCTTTGATAGGAATGGATAGATCTTCCAGACAGAAAATCAACAAGGGGCCTTAACACACTAGATGAAATGGATTTAATTGATATCTTCAGAGCATTTCACCCTAAAGCAGCAGAATACATACACTTTTCAAGTGCACATGGAATGTATTTTAGGATTGACCACATGTTAGGACACAAAACAAGTCTCGGTAAATTAAAGAAGACTGAAATCATATCAAGCATCTTCTCTGACCACAATGCTATGAAACTAGAACTCAATCACAAGAATAACACCAAGAAACACACAGAGACATGGAAGCTAAGTAACATGTTATTAAACAATGAATAGGTCAACAGCAAGATAAGGAAAGAAATCAAAAGACATCTTGAAACAAATGAAATTGAGAACACAACAATCCAAAATCTGTGGAACACTGGGAAAGAAATCCTATGAGGGAAATTCATAGTATTACAGGCCTACCTCAAGAAACAAGAAAAAGCTCAAACAATCAAACTTTACACTTAAAGGAACTTGGAAAAAAACAACAAACAAAGCCTACAGTGAGTAGAAAGAAGGAAATAACAAAAGTAAGATCAGAAATAAACAAAACAGTCTTAAAAAATGATAGAAAAGATCAATGAATCCAAGAGCTGGTTCTTTGAAAAGATAAACAAGGTTGACAAACCTTTAATAAGACTCAAAAAAAAAGAGAGTGAGGATCCAAATAAAATCAGAAATGAAAGAGGAAAAATAGCAACTGACACCACTGCAATACAAAAGATTGTAAGAAAATATTATAAACAACTATATGCCAACAAACTGGACAACCTGTATGAAATGGATAAATTCCTAGTAACATACAGTCTCTAAAACTAAATCAGGAAGAATCAGAAAATCTGAATAGACAGATTACACTTAGTGAAATTGAAACAGTAATAAAAAAACTCTCAACAAACAAAAGTCCTGGACCAGATGGCTTCACAGGTGAATTTTACCAAATGTTCCAAGAACTAACACCTCTCCTCAAACTATTTCAAAAAATTCAAAAGGCGAGAAGGCTCCTGAGCTCATTTTACAAGCCCAGCATTTTCCTAATTCCAAAACCAGGTAAGACAATAAAAAACAAAGAAAATTATAAGCCAATATCTCTGATGAACAGAGATGCTAAAATCCTCAACAAAATAGGACCAAAACAAATACAGCAATGCATCAGAAAGATCATATACCATGATTAAGCTGGATTTATTCTGGGAATGCAAGGTTGGTACAATATTTGTAAATCAATAAATGTGACTCACCACATAAAGAAAACATGATCATAGCAACAGATGAAGAGAAAGCATTTGATAAAATCCTTCACTGATTTATGATAAAAACTCTCAGCAAAGTGGGAGTAGAGGGAACATACCTAAACATAATAAAGGCATATATAACAAATCCACTGCCAACATCATACTCAATGAGCAAAAAACCTCTTGTTCCCCTTGAGATAGGGAACAAGACAGGGATGTCTGCTTTCATCTTGCTTATCCAACATAGGACCAGAAGTCCTAGCCACAGCAATCAAACAAGAAGAAATAAAAGGCATCCAAATTGGAAAGAAGTGAAACTGTCTTTATTCAAAGAAAACATGATACTGTACATAGAGAACTCCAAAGATTCTACCAAGAAACTACTAGAACTGATAAATGAATTCAGCAAAGTAGCATGATACAAAATTAATATAAAAAAACTAGTTTCACTTTTATCTGTCTATAATGAACAGAAAGGAAAATTAAGAAAACAATCCCCTTAACAATTGCTACAAAAAGAATAAAATACCTAGGAGTAAATGTAACCAAGGATATAAAAGACCTGTACTCAAAACTATATGACACTCAAGAAACTGAAGAAGATACAAATAAGTGGAAGTACATAGTGTGTTCATGGACAGGAAGAATTAACATCATTAAAATGTCCATACTCGAAACAATCTATAGATTCAATGCAATTGCTATCAAGATTCCAGTTATGTACTTCACAGAACTAGAACTAATATTTCAAATATTTATATGGAACCACAAAAGACCCCACACAGCAACAGCGATCCTGAGAAAGAACAAAGTTGGAGGAATCACACAGCCTAATCACAAGCTACACTATAAGGCCATAGTAATCAAAAAAGCCTGGTACTGGCATAAAAACACACACAGATTAATTGAACAGAATAGAGAGCTCAGAAATAAACCTATTAAATGACTTTACAGTCAATTAGTATTTGACAGAGGAAGCAAGCGCATACAATGGGCTAAAGATAGTTTATTCAATAAATGGTGTTGGGAAAATCGGACAGATATGTGCAGAAAAATGAAACTAGACCACCTTCTGACACTATACAACAAGAATAATTCAAAATAGATTACAGACTTAAATCCTAGACCTGAAACCATAAAAATCCTAGAAGAAAACATGGGAAGCAAAATCTCAGACATTGCTTGTAGCAAAACTTTTTTGGATATATCTCCCCAGGAAAGGGGAACAAAACTAAAAATAAGTAAATGGGATTACAGGAAACTAAAAAGTTTTTTTTGCACAGCAAAGGGAAACATTGACAAAATAAAAAAACAATCCACAGAATGAGGGAACATATTTGCCAATACGTCTGATAAGAGATTAATATCTAAAATTTAAAAGTACTTACAAAAGTCAACACCAAAAACACCCCTAAACAACCCAATTAAAAAAATGGGCAAAGGACCTGAACAGACCCTTATCCAAAGAGGACATACAGACCAACAGACAACAGACAAATGAAAAGATGCTCAATGTCACCAATCATCAGAGAAATGCAAATTAAATCCACAATGAGATATCACCTCACACCTGTCAAAATGGCTATCATCAATAAATTAACAAACAACAAGTGCTAGTAAGGGTATGGAGAAAGGGGAAATCTTTTGCCCTGTTGGTGGGAATGCAGCCACTGTGGAAAGCAGTATAGTTATACCTCAAAAATGAAAAATGGATCTGCCTTTTGTCCCAGCATTCCCATTTCTGGGAATATATCTGAAGGAACCCAAAACACTAATTTGAAAGAACATGGAAGCAACCCAAATGTCCATGAGTAAATCAGTGGATAAAACAACTATGGGACATTTACACAGTGGAACACTACTCAGCCATAAAAAGGAAAATTTTATCATTTGTGACAATATGAATGGACCTAAAGAACATTTTTCTAAGTGAAATAAGCCAGTCAGGAGAAAGACAAATACTATATGATTTCACTCATATGTGGAATCTAATGAACAAACTGAACATGCAACATAGAGACAGACTCATGGGTAGAGAACAGGACGAGAGCTAAGGGCTGGGGTGAGGGGAGGTTAGGCAGTGGAGGGATTGAGCAAAAACAAAAAAGGACTCACGGATGTGGACAACAGTGTTGGTGATTGCTGGCAGTGAGGGAATATAAGGGGACTAAATGGTAATGGAAAAAATACAATAAAGCAAATAAGTAAATAAAGCCAGTCTAAATAGACAAGTTGTAACTATATTTTTTACATGAGAGAGAAAAAATTTTTATCACGGGTTACACTGGTCTCAAAATAAAAATCAATCATGAGCCAGAGGAATCACAGAGCACTCAGTTTGAATACTTAAAGAAGAAAATAAAAAATTAGGCTCATCTGTATTAAAGTAAGGAAAGATGAATGAAACAAAGGACAAAAACACTTCTTTAAAGATCGCATTTCAGTTCTAGATGATGGTCAGTTGAGAGAAAGAGGTTGAGATAAAGGAAAAAGAGGATAAAGAAGTCGTATCTGTTGATGACTTAAGCTACAAAAAATATTTCCTTTATATTCAAAACCTATTAGTTTGATTGCTTTTAGTTATCTAACAATTAAGTTTACTTCATTTAGTTACCTGTTGTTGAAATATATCTTTTAAAATGAGCTGATTTTGAACAGAGGACACCACTGTGTATGAATGTAGCGAAGACCACAACCAACAAGATGGTGAATTGCACACACTCATATGCCTAAAAAGACTAAAATAAACTTGCCATCACACATCTTTGTGGTGAAAGTGTCAGAGAGATGAGCAAAGAGAAAAACGTAAACACCATTAAAGACAGCATTAATCTAGAAACTGAAGGTGAATGAGTGTTAGCAAATCAGTGTTTCCCATTGTGTGTGGCCTAGAGATAATGCATATTTGTCTTTACAAAGCTGTTTATTGGAAGAGTGTGAACAGGTCATACCTGAGGTTAGGAGCAGTTCCCAGCAAAGGCCTGGGGCCTCTCCTTGCATTCCACTGGCTCTCCTGGCATCCTAGGGGACCCTGGGCTTGGCCCCACTGGTGAGGGCCACACTAGCCTAGAGATCATTCACAGGAAGAAACCATCCTGGAACCCAGACTCCGTGTTCAGGTGGCATGTGGAGGAGGCAGGAACCCCGCCCCGTGCAATCTGGAGGAAACCAGGGCCTGCACCGTCCCAAACATCTCCCTGCCCCTTAGCCACCACCAACTGTAGAAGCCCTTTCAAAATAAGAGAGCGTCTGAAATCACCATCATTTAGACTTGCTCCTTTGAGTTAAGAAATCATCCTTCCTGAGAGCCCCTTGGAAAGTGACTTTTTCTTTTAAACAAGGAGTGTCCTAAAGCACATTAGTATCTATTTATAGAAGCAAATTTTTTGATCAAAATAGCTACTGGGTCACCCAGCAGACAGAGAGAGACTGAGTGTGAGCCCCAAGGGGAAGGGGATGGTGGTGGGAGGTGAGCTCTGATGGGGAAAGGGCCCTGGGGGCTGACAGTGTGGGGTGCTGTCCGGGGGGCAGGACATGTGTGGCACTATTCAGTGACCCTGGGAAGCTAAAAGCCAGGAGAAAGTCAGAGAGGTGTCTAAACAAAAGTGGTTTCAAGAAAAGAGGGGAAAATGGCCATTGACCTGGTTGGTGGATGAGGCCACAATGAAAACCAGTGTCCCTGCTGCAGCTTTGCCCATTGTGGCGCTACTGCCCAGTGAGGCCAAGTAAGGGAGGGATGGCCAGGGCCCAGATGCCCAAGACCTCCTATCAGTCTGGGTCCTGGCAAGGAACAGATGGCACACTGAAAGTGAGATAACTGGAAGAAAGTTTAACAAGGGGACTATTTATAAAGCTGTGCCCTGAGAGGAAGGATACTGTAAAGATCAGTGTAGCCCTGGGAACTGAACAGCGGGCTCCACAGCCAGCCCAGGCCTGAAGGCAGGAGGGGGAAGGTGGTGGCTCCCAGGATGCTGCTGCCAGAGAGAGTGGGGTGGGGGAGGGTGCACTGGGCTCCCCAACATCAGTCATTCCACTCTCTGACCCCTGCCAATGCTCCCATTGGCCAAACCCAACTGGAAGTAAGAGGGAAGCAAGCCCACTGGGACAGACCGTACAGTTCAGGTGCTGGGGAACAGGGGGAGCTGGAGAAGGCTGAGTGGACCTGGAGGTGCAAACCCAAGGTGCCCTGCACTGATGCCCCCAGCGGGTGCACTGTGGCTGATCTCAATGACCATATTTGTGCAATAAAAGCTGGAAATGGCACATCCTGTTTTCAGGAAAACAATAAGACTCCTCTGAAAAACATTTTTATTCAAATCCTAAAATCAAAACATCTGTCCTCTCTCTCTCCTCTGAGTCCTCCTTGTCCCCAAAGATGTGGAGAAGTCACGCTGAGTACAGAGAAATCTTTACCTCTAGCTGGGGAGGGCGGGGCCATCTTAGTCCAGGCCGTAGGCGGGCAGTAGTGTCTATTTTTAGTTCCCCTTAATTGCCAATTAGTGTACTGATGTTTGCAAAGGTAATGAGAGGGAAAGAATCTGGGGGAGGCTCCCTCTCTGTTCTCTCATCCTTGAAGGAAAAAACCTAACTGCCACCTCCACAGCAGCCTTCCTCCACTCTAAATTATCTCCACCTTTTCATGAAAGCAGCTGGTTTGAATTCTCTTTACTAAACACCGCTTCTTGGAATCTGCCAATTCAGATTCCTGGTCAAGTGTCTCTCTCCCTATTGTGGCCTCCTGTGGTTTTATGCATGTGATAGTTTCCCCAGTACGTTTTTAAGTTCACTGTGGTGCCTTGGACTTTTTGAAAAGAATGAAGCAAGCAAACACATGAACGAGTAGATAAGCAGTTAAGGGAAATGTGTTCAGGAGGTGCTCTCATGCCAACGGGGGACGTGGCGTGTCCTTGGCATGCGTATACCGAACGAGTCCATCCGTACACTGTCCCTGCAGTCCACGTCCACCCGACCGCTGTTCAGCAGCAGCCTGAGCAGAGCCAGGTTTCCTCTCCTCGCTGCCCAGAATGCAGCATTGGCAAGTGGAGTTTCCTTCTGCAGAAGCAAAAGAAAACAGGATCTTAAAATTAACATTAGGTAGCACGACCACGTCTACGCAAATATATACTACTTAAAAGGCAGAATTTCCAAATGTGATGTACCATTTGCAAGATTGCTCCTCCAACAGTAGATAACTGCAATATACTTGGTTATGGAATGTACTGTTTTGCAGCAGATAACTGAGCCCCAGTGCTGATTATGAAGCACAAGTTGTTGATAATACAACACTATTAATACCCTATTTCCCACCAATGCACTGACTTTCCTGTCTCTGTCTTTGTTCAGTTTCCTTTCTGCTTGAAATGAGTTTTTCCCCATCCTTCAAGGCCAAGGCTGTGTTTAAATGGTATTTCCTCTCTGAAATGTTCCCAAATCTCTTTTCACCTTTAAGCAGAGAAAACTGTTCCCAACTCTGACCTCCCAAAGGAGCTTACTAGAATCTTTTCTATGCCCTCAACAGTCCCTACCCAATTCCAGCTGTCTGGGTAAGCACCTCCCTTTCTCTCCACCTAGTTTTCTTCGTGTTGGCTGGAACCTGCCAGAGGTAAGAACTGGGAACTCTGGGCAGAAAAAGTTGTTACGTGTCCTCATGTGGATCCCTCATGCTGGGTTATTTTAAAGTTGCAAAGTTAATGTGGGAACCAGACCTAGGGAAGGAACAGAGCAGGAAAACTCAACGACAGCAGCAGAGTTGCCTGCGGTACAAGTTCCTTCTCTAAAGCATCGATTTGGATTTGTGGGTAACAGTTATGGTGGGGGCGGGGGGGGGGGGAGGACAGCTCTGGGTTTCAAGCCCAGCCCTACACTTCAGACTTGGCCCCGACGAGTCCCAGTTTCCTTTTGCTTAGACACAGATTACACCACCTGTCTTGTAGTTTAAGATAAGGATTAAATGGTTCACGTTAACTGCAAGGTCCAATACATCATAAATGCTTACAACACTAGTTTCTCCCTGTCTCCTTTACTTTACAAAGTTAGAATTAGCAGGCAAAATTAAACTCAGTGTTGGTACTAAATAAAGAATTTTACTGGTGTCAGAAAATGTTCTAGTATTCAAGTTGTTTAACAAAAAGGCTTTTTTTGGGTGGGCTTAAAACACCCACCTGACCAAAAAGGCCTTTTATGCAATGCCCTTTAAGTATATGGCTGAGGTATTCGACATAATACCTAACTTGCCTATGCTAAGGTAAAGAGGAAACAGCAACCATTTAGGCTCCTCCATGGAGCCATCTAAATCAAAGCACAATGACAGCGGGGTGGTGTGTGGGGATTTCATTCCGGAACCTTCATCACATGCGCAACTGAGTGCTCTTGTGCATTCTTGGATGCGAGCATGGCAAAGCAGGGAGTGATAAGCAGATTTCAGACATACTTTGAATAGTTTCCTGGCTCAGTTATGATGAAAACAAATCACCTCAAGTTCCAGGTGAACAGTTTGCTTTCCCTGAAGGTGTCAATTTTGCTGTCCCCGAGTTTTCGAGCTGGAGGTGCTCTCACCCAGCGTTTGTGGCTTTTGCACCAGGCTGGGTCTCACGTTAGAGTCATTACTAACTGGCTGAAGTAAGAGCAAGGCAGGTCTGACTTGTAGAATAAAGCATGAAACAATGCCCTTTCAATAAAGAAGTTGCACAAGGCCACTATGAAGTTTGGGAGGGAATCCAGGAAGAGAATCTAATATGTACTATGGAACCTCTCTGCTGGTTTCTCCAGCTTCTCCTGAAACACAAAATCTTGAGAGTAATAAATTGTCAATAATTTTCAATGTCTTTGTTTGGCATTAACCCCAAACACCTTTCAAAAGCCATCAACAAAGCACAGTTTTCCACAGTCGTCAAGAGCTCTCCAGAATGGCCTCTGGGATTCCTCTCCTGCTGAGGCTACACATCGTGGTTTCTCTTAAGGTTTTAGAAAGCCAGCTTTGTGAAAAGCTGTAAATACTTCATTTTCCCTCAAGAGCTTGGTTTACAGGGAGATGGAAGAATGACAGTCAATTTGGATAAGGAAGAGCTGAGTTCAAGTTCTGACCCTGCTGCTGCCCAGCTCCATGACCTTGGGCAGGTGATTTAACTTCTCTCTGCCCCAGTAAAATGGGAATAATAATAACAGCACCTCATTCCTGTGTCGTTGGAGGACTGAATGAGATAATACTCATGAATACACTTTGATAGGAAACATACAAGAAATCTAGCTGTAAATGCACAGCCCTCGCAGCCCATTAAATACTCGTCCGGGTGAATTTGTTTACTTAGTCACTAGCGTATGCTGGGACACTGGCACTGGCCAGGAGCTAGGACCAGAGGTGCGAGTCACCGATTTCTGCTCACAAATGGCTTTATGGCCCAGTAGTATAAGTCACGTCGAGGCATCAGACTTATTATAGGTACTAGAGTAGGAATGCAGATGGTGGTGGTTGAGAGCAGAGAATGGTCAATTCTACCTGAGGAAGGTGGTCAAGGATGGCCTCCAAGAGCAGGAATTCTTGGGAAGAGTTTTGGAAGATGAGTAGGGGCCTGGGTGGTAAGTGTCCTGGGCAGACAGGGCGGCGAGTCAAAGACGTGGAGGCGCTGCACAGCATCCGGAAACAATCTTTACTTAGGAAAGGCTGAAGGGTGTGAGGACAGGGCAGGGGGCGCTGTAGGGCAGGTAGTCAGGGTCACGCCCCGAAGAAGCTGCGGCTGCACTTGCTAACAGAGTGTGCACTTTATCCTGGCCGGCATGGCAGAGCAGAGCAAGGGTTTTTAAGATGGGGCAAGACTATCCATTTTGTGTTTCAGAAATGTCCCTTGAGGAGAATGGACTGAGGACTGGAACCGGGTAAGACTGGTGTCTACAAGGCTAAATAAGGAGACCGCTGCAGAGGCAGAGCAGGAGATGAGGGCCCAAGCTGAGGCGACAACAGTGGGCTGGCAGAATGAGACAGGAGGAATTTTAAGAAGCTAAACTGAATAGTCTTGGTCCGTGAATCCATGTGCAGGAGAGGAGGGAGAAGGAGCCTGGGTTGACTCCTGGGTTTCTGGTTTGAGTGCCTGGTTGATGTGGTGCCATTCATGAAAGTCTGAAGTAACATGTGAGTGACAGTTTCTGAAAAAATGATCAATTCAGCTTTGAACCTGTTGTTTCAAGAGCATCTGGGGCACCTAGGTGGGGAGGTCTAGCAAAGACATGGGTAAGCTCTCCTATGGCACTGTGGCCCACACATTATCGGAGGGCAGGAATCAAGCTAATGCTAAATGCTTATCCTGTACCACTTGGTACACTGTCTGCATATATTTGCTCATTTGATCCTCGCCACAGCTCAGTGAAGTGGGCACTGTCACCATCCCACTGCACAGGTGAGGAATGTGGGAAAGGAAAGGCAGGCTTCGGCTACAGGTGGTCTGACGTCTGCTGCTGCCCTTTTACAGCCATCATACTGTTCCACCCCCTGTGGAATTCTCCTGTAGACAGCCAGGAATAGGCAGCATGGACTCGTGACCTCCTTCCTATCCTCATTCCAAGCTCCTCTTCTGCCAAGATACAAAGTCCCTTGACCTTCCTTCTCTTTGGGGTCTATACCCACCATGTTGCCTGGGTAACTCCAAAACCTCCTCGAGTACAATATGCATGAAATCGTAAATGCTGCGGAGTAGACCAGGGAGGGGCAGGCCCTTTAGTCTTTAAAGGAGACACTACATGAGAAAATGCTTCATACAAACTGTAAAGCACTTTACCAATCATGCTATGACTATCTGACCTCTTTCTTGATCGGTCCTGTCTCCACAGGGCCAGTGTGCCTCCTTCAGGCTGGTTGGTTGCCACATTATGAAGAACAGCGCAGACAACCAATGCCGAGACCTTGCTGTGTACCAGCCAGCGTGCCAAGCACTTTCACTGCTCTATGTGTTTAATTCCCAGAACAACCCCATCAGGTGTTATCATTACTCTCATTTTTAAGATGAGGAACCTGAGGCCCAGAAATGAATTACTCAAAGTCATACAGTGAGGAAGTAACAGAGTCAGATTCAAACCCACATCTGTTTGAGTACAGAGTCTAAGGTCTCGTGTCTTCACTACCCTGTGAGAAAACCTGAACACAAGCTTCCACATATGCCCTGTTTTCTTCTGTTTTTTTTTCCCCTCTTTACTGTTAGAATTGTGGCTCATAAACGCTTCATTAGCACACTCCCAGAAATTAGGTACTACAAGGAAGGGTAGAGGAACATAGCAGGGAAATTGTTATTTGTACAGAACTGGAATTTCAATTAAAAGCCAAGAGAGGGTAAAGACTTAAACAATTGGTTTAAAAAAGCACAAAAAGGAAAAAGGACTCACAGGCACAGACAACAATGTGGTGATCGTGGGGTGGAGGGAGGGACTATAAGGGGACTAAAGGGTAATGGAAGAAATAAAAAATTAAAGTTGAAAAAAAAAGAATAATGTGGATTTCAGTTGTATCCTATTAATTCAACCAAGAGAACATGAGCTTTGTTCAATAATGTACTTCTTCAATGTTAAAGGCCCCATGAAATAAGGACACAGTGAAGGACTGAGAAGCCATGTGCAGAGGATGCTGTGGGTGTGTTACTGGCTATTGTAACCCACTGTTCCTCCGTGCTGAGTACTTAAAAATTTCCGAATGTTTAATAATCTTTAAAGAAGCCTAAACCCTTTGTTGTCAGTATTGTTATACTCTTGTAAGTGATAGGAAACTGAATAAAGTGATCTGCCCCAGGCATTCTGCCTTAGAAACAGGATTTATATAACAGTGGTATTTCCAAATTCAGAATTTGATCAAGACCATGTTCAAAGTCTGTTTAAAACAAATGACCAAAACAGGCAAATCTATAGAGAGAGAAAGTAAATTAGCAGTACCTAAAGCTGGAAAGTTTGGAGAAATAGAGAATGAATGCTAATGAGTATAGGACTTCTTTTTGGGGTGATTAAAATATTCTAAATTGATTGTTCTGATGCTAGCACAACTCTGTGACTATACCA